TCGCTGCGCCTCTCTTTCCCCAATGCTGCCGGCCGGCCGCTTAGCTGCTGCTCATTCTTCTTGCCACATCTTGCCACGCCATGCCATGCCGCCCTGCCAGGAGCGCAAGGAGGCGATCTGGGTGGCAAGCAGTGAGTTGGCAGCATCGGTGGGCGGCAGGATTCCCGATGATGCCCGAGGGGCGCTCCTTGCTGAGGTGGCAAATCTAGTGGAGTCGCCCGTCCCCCTTCTGGGAAGCTTTGACCCCAGCTTCCTTGACTTGCCACCCGAGGTGCTCGTGATGGTGATGAAGAAGCATCAGAGATACTTCCCTGTGGAGGACGCAGCTTCTGGGAAGCTGCTTCCGCACTTTGTGGCGGTGCCGAATGGGCGGCTGGACGAGGCGGCCGTGCGAGCGGGCAATGAGTCGGTGCTGAGGTGAGTGGGGAAGGGGAGGGAGAGAGGCCGGTTTGAGGGGGATCAAGTGGTGCTGTGAGGCAGCGAGCCACGCAATGGCTGCTGTCGCTTGCCGTTGTCACTTGGTACTGTCACCCGTCTTTGCTCACCCGCTTCTCCTCAAATGGTCCTTGTATTGGATGGTCAAGGTGCAGGGCATGGTAACCAAGTCACATATACAAAGCGTGTCCTAGCAGCCCGGGCTCTACGGCATGCAGTAAGTCCCCCACGGGGAGGGGGTCCTCGGGGTCGTCCAGAGGCCACTCCTCCCCCGCAAGGGCGCAGTTGAACTTGGTGTTAAGCTCCCTGCTTTCCCCTCTCTTGGTCTCTCTCTTGGCCCCCTCCTCACAGGGCGCGCTACGAGGACGTGCGTTTCTTAGACGACAGCCACACGGCACACTCTTCCCCCCCCCCCCCGTTCCACACTCTAATGTCTGTCATCCCCTTCACCACCCCCCCTGCCAGGGCGCGCTACGAGGATGCGCGCTTCTTCTACGACAGCGACACAGCGCATCCTCTGGAGTCCTTCCGGGAGAAGCTCAGAGGCATCACCTTCCAGGTACCTTCCTGTCCACTGCTCCTGCACTGTTACACACTGTTGGCACGTCCCATCCTTCCAAGTCGTTCCCTTGCCTCACCCATTGTCTCTCTTTTCTTCTTTGCTCCCAGAACTTTCTAAGCGCCACAGACCATACATTGTCTCACTAGATAGCTCGTAACCGAAGCACTCGATCCCCCCTATCCCCGGCCCGCTGAACAGGCGAAGCTGGGGTCCATGCTGGACAAGAGCGAGCGCGTGGAGGCCATCACGCCACTCCTCTGCACCGCACTGCACCTCTCTCCCTCGCTCTCGGCCGCAGCGCAGCAAGCAGCGCGGCTGTGCATGGCGGACCTTGGGACGGCCGTGGTGATGGAGTTCACAGGGCTGGCGGGGATCATGGGGCGGCACTATGCGGAGAGGGAAGGGCTGGGAGAGCAGGTGAGAGGGATAAGGGGGTGAGAGGGATAAGGGGGTGAGAGGGATAAGGGGGTGAGAGGGATAAGGGGGTGAGAGGGATAAGGGGGTGAGAGGGATAAGGGGGTGAGAGGGATAAGGGGGTGAGAGGGATAAGGGGGTGAGAGGGATAAGGGGGTGAGAGGGATAAGGGGGTGAGAGGGATAGCAGGCGGCGTGGCTGTGCATGGCGGGCCTTGGGACGGTCTCGGCTGTAGTGATGATGCTCACTGGGATGGCGGGGATCGTGGGGCGGCAGTACGCCGAGGGAGAGGGCCTCTGAGGAGGTGAGTGGGTGATGCTTATTCCAAGGGTCAGCTTCAGCAGTGCCTGGCGGACCTTGGGACGGCCGTAGGGATGGAGATCAAGGGGCTGGCGGGGGTGATGCGGTGGCAATACGCAGAGAGAGAGGGCCTTTCTGACGAGGTGAGTGGGTGGTCCCACCCGACTCTGAGTTCGTGCTGCTGCGCACAGGGCAGGGGATAAGTGCGCCACCCCCTGTCCCTTCCCTCTCTCTTCTCCACCCCTCGCCGGCACCCCACCAGGTGAGCATGGCCGTGTTCGAGTCGGTGCTGCCGCGATCAGCAGGGGACCAGCTGCCGTCCACAGCCCCTGGCCTCGTGCTCTCCCTCGCCACCAGGTGCGTGCTCTGTTGCCACCAGGTGGGCTCTCTGTTGCCACCAGGTGGGTGCTCTATCTATCTTATGTGTTGCCTCTCTCTGTTGTCTCCAGGTTGGTGCTGTGCAACCACCAGGCGGACCCTCTGTTGCTTTCAGGTGCCCTCTCTCTTTTGCCCCCCTGTAACCCCCCTCTCAACCCCCTCTCAACCCCCTCTCAACCCCCTCTCAACCCCCTCAACCCTCTCAACCCCCTTTCAACCCCCTCTCAACCCCCTCTCATCCCTTTGTACTCCCTACTCCCCCCCCCCCATCCCCTCCCCAACAGGCTGGACAGTCTCGTGGGGCTGTTTGCCATCGGCTGTGAGCCCTCCGCCTCTGCGGACCCCTTCGGTCTGCGCCGCTCCGCCTACGGCCTGGTGAGCTGCCACCGCCACACCTGCTTATTGCCACACATGCTCATGCCCTCACATCTCCTATCCCATCCCACCGCCACGTATTGCATGAATGGTGGCGGGTGGAGGCCCTGGTGCCATGCAGCACGGACCTGCATCTCTCCACCCAAGCGCTTTCTCACCGCCTTTCACCTCCTCTCATCTCCCCTCATCGCATGCACGTTGTGTGCATTGCCTGGCAGGTGGAGGCCCTGGTGGCCAGCAACACAGACCTGCACCTCTCCACGGCGCTGCAGGCAGCAGCATCTGTGCAGCCCGTGGAAGTCACCCCCGCCACGCTGCAGCAGGTGCTCCCCCTCCCGCCCCTCCCCCCATTCTGGTCGTACTCCCCTCTTAAACCCTAAGCTTTAAAGCCCTGCAGGCAGCTGTATCCATGCAGCCACTGGACATCACCCATGCCACACTGCAACAGGTGCCCCCTCCTTCCCCCATTTTGCTCATCTCGTCCCTCCTTGCTTGCATTTTCCCCACCTCGTTTCTCACTCCCCACTCTCTCTCACACCGTCCACCCTCCATCTGCACCCTTCCTGGCCCCGTCCCTTCGGACATCCCACCTGACCCCCCCCTGTGTTCCCTTCCCCCTCTCCCCTGCTGTGCAGGCCTTCGTGGTGCGGCGTCTGGAGCAGTACCTCGAGCATTGCAGGGCGGGGAAGGAACTCATGGTCCGGCGTTCAATCTGCTCTCTCCCCTCAAGCTCTCCCGTGTGCCGTCCAACAGGTGCAGGCCTTTGTGGTGCGGCGACTGGAGCAGTATCTGGTGGACCGGGGGGCGCCGGTGGAGCTGGTGCGCAGCGTGCTGGAGGAGAGGGGCGCCGTGCCCGCCCTCGCTGCCAGATCCGCCGCTGAGGTGAGTGGCTGCCCTCCCTTGCCCTCCTGAACATACACATGGTTCTTATAGTAGGTATAAGATGTCTTTTTCCCATAGCACAATGCAACGACGTGCCATAGATGCTGGATCACTCCTGTTTCCCTGCATGCGCCTCACTGCGCGTGTGTCCTCACACCGTGTCACCCTCTGCCTGCCTGCCGCCTGCCTGGCAGATGGAGGAGCTGCAGGCGGGCGGGCAGCTGGAGAAGGTGGTGGCGGCGTATGCGCGGCCGACAAGGATCGTGCGCGGGAAGGACGTGGACCTGGAGTGGCAGGTGAGCGCCCTCTTTATGACAGCCTGGCACTGGCCACCTGGCATGCCTTGATAACGCCCTGGAGTTGTTGGAGGGTATTGGCGTGCAGCTTGATGCAGGGTTCTTGTGTGTGCGTGGTGGCATGAGCAGGTGGCAGAGGAGCTGTTTGAGTCGGACGCGGAGAGAACTCTGTGGGATGCATTCAAGCAAGTTGATGCGCAGGTCTCAAGCGGTGCGTCCTGACACTCCTTGCGCCCAGTCGCCGTCCTCTTTTCTGCACTTAGCCCTCTGTCGCCCTATGCACACCAGTCATCTACTGGTTTCCTAACCTGAGCATGTCCCTGATGTCACACATGCGGTGGTTGCATCTGTGATTAACTGCGTGCCCTCCCTCCCCGCATGGCATCTGATGTGGCATGCAGACATGAGCATCAAGGCCTTCGCCGATGCATCCATGGCTCTCATCGACCCTCTGGAAGGCTTCTTCACGAATGTCTTCGTTATGGCAGTAAGTTGACAAGCGTTGTGACCATGCATTTTTCCAACGGCCCCTACAGCCGACTGCCTGATCCGCTCCACGCCCACTATTCGTGGATTGCTGAGTCCCCTCCCGACTCCTGACTGCGTGTGTGTGGTGTGAGTGTGTGTGTGGTGTGTATGTGCAGGAGGAGGAGCAGCTGCGCAAGAACCGCCTGGGGCTGGTGAGCAGGATCGCTAGACTGCCGGAGGGCATTGCTGACCTCACTGTGCTGCCGGGATTCTAGGGTCTAGGGTCTAGGTGTGCGGGTTCGCAGGCTCAGGGCGTGTCACTAAAGTACGTCCGATTACGGTTCGCAAATATATTTTGCGTTCTGGAACGTTCAATAAAAAATCTAGAACGGTTCAGTATGGTATTTTGCCAAAACGATTTTTAGTGACACGCCCTCAATGTGCTAAGCGGCTCACATGTCAAGCGCCTCGGAGATGGGGGTCCTGCCCTGGAGGTCGGATAGTACTCTGAGGCTTACTGAACAACATTGGCAGAGTTCTTTAAAGGTACCAAAGCAGTGTCTGCTTCTCCATAAGGCTTCTCCACAACATTCCTGTCAGCTGACAAGCTCAGTAATGCGTATTGTTGGAAATATCTCAAGGACTTAAGCGTTTCTGAAGTGTAACACTGTACTCGAGGAAGATTACAGGGGAGCACGCGAGTCAACGGAGGTTACACGAGGGGGCGGACAAAGAATGCGAAAGGACTCGAAAGGTCGCAACTGGAGGTTGCGACTGACCGTTACAACATCACGGATGGAAACCGAAGCGGCAATCGAGTCGCTGTGCGACTCGATAAACCGTTCTTGTAACTGTATTCTACAACTGCTTCCTTATCTTCTATATATTGCTGTATGCTTGTTTCTTTAATCAATCACTTGTTCTCACATACTAGTACAAGGGTTCAACTGCCTCAACTTCCGCTGCACTACTCCAAGTCTCAAGTCTCTACAGCTGGGACTTAGTCTCTGCAAAAGATCCTAAGGGCTTTTTTTTCAGCCCAACATGGTATGAGAGCTGGTCAGAGATCAAAACTCCCAGCAACTACACTCCATCAACAACCAGCAACTCAACTTGATTCAACAACTCCATTGATTACAAGACATGGACAACAAGGGCAAGAAAGTCTCTACGGGCTCACCCAGCGCCCAAGAAACTCAACACGGCAACTCTGGTCTGCACACCTCAGGACTGCAGACAAAGACCGGGACTACTCAAGAAACAACGGGAAGAGTACCAGAGATGGTGACTCCGTCTCCCTCTTCAAGTGTGGACCCGAATCTCATGGAGAGATTCTTCAGCTTCATGTCACACTTCGACCAGCAGCAGCAGACAAGGACACCTGCGCACTCAACACAGAGCAATGGAGGGAATATGGGATTAGCGCCGATGAGCCTCGACAACTCATCCTTCGGGCGACACAACCAAGCGCCTACCTTTGCGCCTTATCATTCTTCGCCGGGGACGTTCGAATTCATGCCGCCCCGTGCCCAGCCAACAGCAGCTGCTTCACAACAAACACCGAATGAAATCTTAAGTTTACAGGCGCAGTTCTCACACGTGATCAAACTTCAGACATCCTCACCGTTCAACGGACACGACTTCTTTACCTGGAGCTTCGAGTTTGAGCTGCTGATGGAGGCCGCGCATCTTCTGGGATACTTCAACGGGTCCCTGCCATTCCCAAGCAACGGCACTGGGAAGGAACAAGAGATCTTCACGTATCAGTCGCTGCTGGCGTACACGGTACTCCTGAGAAACCTGTCACCACAAGAGCAGCAGAGCATCAGAACGTATCGGAGTTATGGAAACTCCGCGGAGCTCGCATGGCACCACCTCAAATGCCTTTACCAAGCAAACGACAGCGTGACACAAAGCAGACTCATGCAACAGCTGACAACAATACAGATGAAGACCGGGGAAAAGGCGATGCAGTATATGAGTCGCTGCCAGACCCTCCGCGACCGCCTGCTTCGGTGCGGAGGAACGATCACTGAAGAAAGCTTCGTGACACTTGTCCTCGCCGGGCTCGGGCCAGAATGGAGAACCACACGATCACTTCTTCGAGCCCACGGAAGAATTTCGGAGATGCACCTCTGCGCCGAGCTTCACGCTGAACAACAGGAGATGGATCTGTTCGAGGAAAGACAACCAAGGAAGCAACAGCAGTTAGTCTTCTACACTCAAAGAAGAAATGACAACAACTACAACCGACGCAGCAAGCAAGATCAACGCGACAACCGAGGACTCACCATCGTGCCGCCGTTCTGCCACAACTGTCAGACTTCCGGACACTCCAAGGTCAACTGCAACCGCCCTCGCGTTTACCGTGCAGCAGACCCACAAGTCGCTTCCACTCAAGCAAGTCCTCCAAGGCGCTCTTCAACATCTGCACAACAAACACCCAACATCATCAACTGCATGGTACACATCGACAACTGCGCACCCGCTTCACCACCCACTTACGCACCAGACGAAGAGGAATTCCCGCCGCCGCGCTCGCAAGGACTTCAGGTCAACCCGACATACGCTGCAGTCGCTAACGCCGAACCCACCGGGCGGAACACCTGGTTCTTGGACAGTTGCTGCGGTCAGCACATGTGCTCCTCCGGACGCTTCGTACAACACGAGCGACGCCTCAACCGCGACGTCGTCATCACCGTCGCCAACAACGAAAACCTGAAAACAAACAGGCAAGGCGTGGTTCAGTTACAATCAATGGAGACAAACGTTATTCTTCAGCTCAACAAAGTCCTCATCGTCGACAATCTGGGATACAACCTACTAAGCGTAAGCCAACTAATGGCTAAGGGGATTCACCTGGAGTGCGACTCCTTCTCCAACGAGTTCCGACTTTACCACGGGAAGGGCGGTCTCTTCATCGGTCGTGCCCTCCTGAAGTCCGGTGTCTTCGTGTTGGACTTCGTCCCCGACCGCGGAACTGCCGACAGCGATGGCATCGTATCGTTCGCCGCCTGGACTCACCCACCAGATCTTGATCCCGACTTCGACAGTGACGGCTTCTGGCACTCCAACACCATACCTGCAGCAGAGAGAACACGGGCATTAGCAGTTATCAGACAAGAAAGACAAGTACCAGCAAGCATCCCAACAAAACCATCACCTGCAGTATCGGCAGCAGGACCCAGCCGAGTACCACCACCATCAACACGAGGACCGCCAACGGAAGCAGACCAACTTATGCCCGCCACACGAGAAGCTTGTCGAAGTCCCGCCTCGGTCGTCGCGTTCTTCTCCAACGCCGACATCTACCACCGCTCGCCCGGTCACCGCGCTCCCGACGACATCTGGCACCAACGTCTCGGACATCCTGCAAACAGCACGATACTACAAACAATACAAGCAGAGGTGTTAGAACGTAACGCCCTTCTAACGACGAGCGGCCAAGAACTTCGCCGACCAAGAGCACGATGCTTCACGTGCCCCGAAGCAGATCTTCCTCATCAACCTTTCCCAGCCCATCACAATCCAAGCGCACCCACTTACGCTCCGATGGAAAAGGTCTACAGCGATATTCTAAACATGCCTCGAGACGACACCGAAGCCGACTTCAACTACGTCATCACGTTCATCGACGCCGCAACCAGATACGTCTGGCACTTCAATCTCAAAACGCGCGATCAAGCCTTCGAGGCCTTCACCACATGGCTTCCAATCGCCGAACGAGAGTCAGGAACCAAACTCAAGAGTTTCCAGTCAGACGGTGCACTGGAATACCAGTCACAACGCTTCAGGACCTATCTCGCGGAAAGGGGAATCCGACGCCTGGTGTCTCTGCCCTATGCTCACCAGCAGCAGGGGGTAGCAGAACGCATGAACCGGACCTTGCAGACGACGATGCGAAAACTGCTTCTGGGGATGAGGCTGCCCAATACACTGTGGCCAGACGCGATGACACATGCAGTCCACCTGCACAACCTGTTGTCCTCGTCATCGCTCCCCAACAACGCATCACCGCACCTGCTGTGGACGGGAAAAAGGGGCAGCACAAAATTACTTCGAGTTTTCGGCTGCATGGTACAATACAGACCCCACACAGCTCGAGCAGGACGCTTCACTCAACGAGCTCGGTGGGGACTACACCTCGGCATCGCCAAACATTTTCACGCGTGGAAGATTCTCGACATACACGACAAAAATACGGTGGCATCACGTGATGTTATCTTCTACGAGCGACTGACGCTGCAGCATTACCTGGACAACATTGCCAACTCAGACGACCCCACCGACGGCTTCGCGGGCCTTCGCTCCTTCGCTGACCATGCTGCCGAGGCTGACGCAGCAGAAGAAGACGTCCCTGGAGCCTCGGAGGCTGCCGGACCACTCCCCTACTGCTCCGTACCTGTTCCACTCGATGAAGATAATCCTCTCGATAGCAACAACCTCGACACCTTTTACCACTTCGCTGACCAAGGCTACGCTACACCACACCCCGTCGACTCGAATATTTCCGAACGCATCGGGCCAAACTTCTTACCCGATCCTGAAGACGGTGATGAAGCAGCTTATCCCGAGAATGAAAACTCCCCTCGACACACAGCCACGGGACTGCAGATCCTAGGACTATGGGTCTCCGTCCAGCACCCGCCGCCGCCTTCTCCGCGCGAGCCGTCGACCCTGTCGCAGGCTCTGGGGGGGGAACATAAGGCACAATGGAAGGAAGCGATGGAAAAAGAGTTAAAAGCTCTGCAAGACCGAGAAACATGGAAACTGGTACCTGCAACGAGCATCAACGGGAAAAACATTCTCTCGGGGAAATGGGTGTACCGCATCAAGACCAACTCAGACGGCTCCATCGAACGATTCAAAGCTCGATGGGTCGTACGAGGCTTCGATCAACGATACGGAACCGACTACACAGAAACCTTCGCTCCAGTCTCCCGTCACACCTCTCTGCGCATCCTACTCGCCATCGCGGCCACGAAGAAACTACCACTACGGCAAATCGACGTTGCAAACGCCTTCTTGTACGCACCTGTGGACGCCGAAATCTTCGTCGAACAACCCCACGGATTCATCGACGACCCTTCAAAAGTATGCCAGCTGGAAAAATCCCTTTACGGGATCAAGCAAGCCCCACGGCTCTGGCAGCAGCACCTTCACGGCCGGCTCGTAAAAATCGGATTCCTACAGCTACCACATGACCAAGGCATGTACCGACTACAGAAGGGAAGAGATTACATTCTGCTCATCGTCTACGTCGACGACCTGCTCTACATCGGTTCTACCACCGACATCGTCACCTGGTTCGAAGGGGAGCTGAAAAGGGACCTGACGCTCACGGTGTCCGACGAGGTGACGCAGTACCTAGGACTGAACGTCGTCGAAGACGACACGGCGTTCTACCTACACGCTGGAAAGTACTCAAGCACCGTCGCGAAGAAATTCGGTCTAACACCGACTGCGGTCCCAACTCCCTACCGCTACGGGAACAACAGTAGCGCCTCCACAAAACTCCCCGCGAAACAAATCCAGGAGTATCAACAGAAGCTCGGCTGTCTACTATTCGCAACAGTAACCTGCCGACCCGACCTATCCTATAGTGCGAGCCAGCTGGCGACACATCTGAAGCAGCCGCAACAGGAAGATCTCGAAGAACTCAATCGAGCGCTACTCTACTTCGTCTCCACGCCGACGATCGGGCTCACCTACAGCAAGGCAACAACACCGTCCGTACAACTACTCGGATACGTCGACGCCGACCACGCGGGAGACAGCGAAAATCGACGGTCTAGGACGGGCTACATCTACCGACTAGAACCTATCGGAACTATCTCCTGGCAGTCGAGCAAGCAGGAGTTAATCGCACTATCCTCGGCTGAAGCAGAGTATATCGCCCTTTGTACTGCGACCAAGGAAGGACTCTACCTACGAGAGTTACTCGAAGAAGCGAAGATCGCGACCCTGCCCACCTTCTCACTCCTCTGCGACAACCAATCTGCGATAAAAATCGCGAACAAGGACGGCTTCGCCAACCGAACCAAGCACATCGCCCTGCGGTACTTCTTCGTCAATGATGAAATCGCGAAGGGGAGACTTCAACTCAGTTACTGCCCGACGACAGAAATGGCCGCAGATTATCTGACGAAGAAATTGGCGAAAGCAAAATTCGACTACTGCATGCTCCTAACCGGGCAAACAAACGTCACCGGATCTGAACACTCCAGCACTCCAGAAACGAAGGGGAGTGTTGGAAATATCTCAAGGACTTAAGCGTTTCTGAAGTGTAACACTGTACTCGAGGAAGATTACAGGGGAGCACGCGAGTCAACGGAGGTTACACGAGGGGGCGGACAAAGAATGCGAAAGGACTCGAAAGGTCGCAACTGGAGGTTGCGACTGACCGTTACAACATCACGGATGGAAACCGAAGCGGCAATCGAGTCGCTGTGCGACTCGATAAACCGTTCCTGTAACTGTATTCTACAACTGCTTCCTTATCTTCTATATATTGCTGTATGCTTGTTTCTTTAATCAATCACTTGTTCTCACATACTAGTACAAGGGTTCAACTGCCTCAACTTCCGCTGCACTACTCCAAGTCTCAAGTCTCTACAGCTGGGACTTAGTCTCTGCAAAAGATCCTAAGGGCTTTTTTTCAGCCCAACACGTATGATTTCTTGCACGCTGAATGGCAGTGTTCTACAGACACAAGGCTAAGGATGAGTAGCAGGGAGGGATGCGTTTTACATTCAAGGATCCACCCCTGAAAGCGACTCCCGGCCCACGGGACTAGCACGGCCCCTCAGGCCTAAACCCTAATCACAACAATACTCGGAAACGCATTGGGGAAATACGTCAGCACCACCCCAGGCTGCAGTGTCTAGCACGATACAGCGAGTTCACTCGGGCTTGTAGTCCGCGAGCACGGGGTGCGACTCCCAGTTGGCGTCGTCGGCCGCCAGCAGGTCGATGTATTTCTGCATCGCCTCCTCCGCCGACATGCCCTTGATCGCGTTCCACGCGTCCCACTTCTGCCGCGCCTCGAATTGAATGAACAGCGGCTGCCACACGCACACACACGCGGCACACGCATCGCAAACCGGTCAAAACTCGTGCGCGGAGGTCCGTCGTAGTGGCGATGAAACGTGGGTGGGGTAGTGAGGGCAGTCGCTAGGGCTGAACGCGGAGCCGATCTCATTCCGGATAGTGACGCACCCGAGAGGCCTTTGTATTTACTACGGAAGAGTGGCGGAGTGAGAAGCGTACCTGCGATCCCTTGACGTCGCCCTCAGTCGCCTGTTTGAAGTACGAGTAGTATTTGAGCTTCTCGTCCGTCGTCGCCTTGGGGTTGGGCGGGCCGTTGCGGATCAGGTACGCGGCCTTCTTGAACCTCTGCTCCAGCTCCGACATGGCGGCGGCGAGACGAAGGATCAATCGACGGCTCTCGGGCGGAAGTGCAAGGTCCGAAATCTAAGGATGCAGCCTGAATGCAAAAACTGCTGCGCTGGTGGAGGTGTAGATGAAATGGGCCTACACCGAACGGGGGAGGAAGTATTGCAATGCAATGCAATGGAGCAGCAGAGCAAGGGGATTTGCGGGGCTGCGTTTGGTGGTGGGTGGGACGTGAAGGGCGGACGGGACGGGTCACGACTCACGGGTCATGCGGCAAGGGACGGGGAGTGGGACTCACTCGCGACACACGTGTGTCGCGCCGACCTCGGGAATGTCGTCCCTCTTCGCGAGCTTTCGCCGGGGGTGGCGGTTACGGCAGCTAGCCCTGACTAAACATTCTCAAACTGGCTGTCAGCCCTATCGCGTTGCAAAATGATCAAACAGGGGGTAGGACCTAACCTAACTAATCTGAGCTTCCAGTATCCAATCAGGGGCCCCTACAGTGCAAAATTAGACCCTTAAGGGGACAGGGGGCTAGGCTTGGACTGAAAGGCTTCCACAACAAGGGTATTTCACATCTAGCTGCGACTGACAACTACCATATATCATGAGATCTAAGGTAGGGCCAGCTAGCCCCCCAGCATCAACTCAATTCATCTGCGAATGTACATGCGCCTGACGGACTTGAGGAAGAATTCCCAGGACTCGTCCCCCAGCAGGATCATGTCGCCCTCCCGGTCCTGGTACACCACGGACGACCCCTCCGTCACCGACAGCAGCGCCTCGCGCAGCTCCTGCGTCGACTGGAAGCGCGACAGGTCCACCGACACCCCGAACGGCGACCCCTCCACGAAACACTTCACCCTCAGACTCTCCTCTCCCCCCCCTCCTCCCCCTCCCCCTCCCCCTCCCCCTCCTCCCACCCCATCCCTTGCCCCCGCACCTCCTGCAATACCTACCATGCTCGCCCCTGCAGTGCCTGCCGCGTCTGCTGACCCCATGGGCCCCCCTTCCCCCCCTCCCCCTCCCCCTGTGCCATCCCCCGCGCCCCCCATCATGCCCCCGCCAGTACCACCAGGGGAGGAGTTACCTGAGCGCTCAGCGCCCATGCTGGAGGGGGGCGAGCCCCCTCTGCCGCCGCCGCCACCAGCGCTGCCCCCTGCTCCCCCTGCACCCCCTGCTGCCCCACCTGCTGCCCCCATGCTGCCCGCTCCCATGAAGCCTGCCCGTGATTGCTGCTGCATTTGCGGCGGATGCTGGTTCCCCTGCTGGTTGTGCTGCTGGTTCTGCTGCTGGTTCTGCTGCTGGTTCTGCTGCTGCTGGTGCTGGTAGAACGGTGAGCCACCAGAGGCCTCCCTACCAGAGTCGCCCAGCCCACTCAGTCGAGCACCCATCAGCCCCCCCAACCCTCCACCGCCTCCCCCGAAACCACCTCCACCACCTCCACCACCTCCACCACCTCCACCACCACCACCACCAGCCGCACTGCCGGCAGCAGCAAGGGTGGCCATGCGCTTCCCCCCGCCCATGCCTGACGCCATGGACGCGCCGTCGTCCGCCCCCCCGTCCCCCATGTCCCCCCGGCTGCCCGATGGCTCTGCTGAATCCTCCGGCGCCGCCCGCTTCCTCCCCACCAGTCCCCCCGCCCCCCCATACCCCCCGGGGCGGGGGCCACCCAGGGGAGGTAGTGACTGGGGCATGTGGAAAAGGGGCGGGTGAAGGGAGGGGGGCGGCTGGGAGGCCCCGCCATGCTCCCATGGTGCCTCCTGCCCGTGCCCCTCCGGATTTATCCCCCCCATTCCTCCCATTCCCCCCACTGACCCCCCTGGTGCTCCTGCCCCCCCTGCTCCAGGCGCAACTAGCAGCGATGGTGCACCCATCCCTCCCATCGCCCCCGTGCCGCCCATGCCACCGTCTCCCTGTGGCCCCGCCCCGCCATGCGCATCACCAGCTTTGTCTGTAGCGGCGGAGTTGCGCATGGCCTGCTGCTGCGCGAGCAGCGCGGCGATGGACGACACGATCTGGTCGCGCGACAGCCCCGCCGCCAGCCCCTTGGCCACGGCGGCGTTCACCAGCTGCTCCTGCACCGACCCCTTCACCACGCCCGGCACTATCTCGCTCACCGCCCCCTCGCCCTCCCCCGCGCCCCCCGGCTGCTGCTGCAACGGCTGTAGGGGGTGCTCCTCCTCCTCCTCCTCTTCCTCCTCCACCTCCTCCTCTTTGTGCTGCTGCTGCTGGTGTTGCGGCTGCTGCTGCTGCTGCTGCTGCTTCTGCCGTTGGATCTGCTGGATATGCGACAGCAGCACAGCAGGCGTCAGCCCCCCCTGCCCCGTCACTGACGTCAGCAGTGACGCCAGCTGAGCCACGCCCGACGGGCCTAGCTGCGCTAAGAGATTAGCAGGCAGCTTTGCCGCTGCCAGCGCCGCTAGATTGCTTGCCCCGGCCTTGCCCTGCTCCCCCCGCCCCCGCCCCCGCCCCCGCCCACACTCCCCACCTCCCCTTCCATGCTGTCCTCCCCCTCCTCCCGCCCATACCCTCCCCGCTGCCCCCCCCCCCCATAGCCCCCATACCCCCCTCCCCCTGCCGCATGGGGCGGCGGGGAAGGCCTGCGCCAGGAGCGCGCCTGCAGGCCCATGGGGTCGTCTTGCGCCGCATCCGCGCAGCCCAGCGCGGCCCCCGCGCCCCCGCTGGAGGCGGCGGCGGAGGGCGCGAAACCCTGCGCGGGGCGGCGGCGGAAGCCGATGAAGAGGTCCCCGGCGGTGCCGCGGTGGAAGTAGACGATGTCGCCCGGCACCAGCAGCTTCTCCTTCACGAAGCGGCTCCAACCCTTGGTCAGCACGTAGCTCTGGCTGCTGTTCCAGTACGAGTACCTGCGGGGGGGAAAAGGGGAGGGAGGGGGGGGTGTTGACGTGGTGCACAGAGCCGAGGGAGGAAGCTAGGCGAACAGGAATGAAGGCAGCATGAGGAGTAATGGCAGGCTACGAGTAAGGAGAAGACGAGCAATGGCGGGCAAGCAGCAGCCGGCAGGCAGGCAGGCACGAGCCCTCACCGGAAGCGCCAGTGTTTGCCGGTTTCGTCTTCGAAGGAGAGCGTCATGGCGGGCGTGGGCAGGTTGGGGTCGAGCGGGAAGCAGCGCTCGGCGTGCTGCTTGGGGATCACCAGGCGGTTCAGCTTGCCCACGTCGCTGGGGGTCACCGCCTTCTCGAACAGGTGCTCCTTCCCCGCCATGCTCACGCCCCCCCCCCCTCCTCCGCCCATCGCTCCGCCCATACCTCCCCCCATTGCTCCTCCCCCCACTGCCCCCATCATCTGCCCGCCCCCTCCGCCATACCCGCCTGGTCCCGCTGCCCCCCCTGCCCCTCCTCCTCCCCCATGGAACCCTCCGCCGCCTGTCTGCGCCGTGTCAGCAGCGGGGAAGCCCAGCTCCCGCCCGCCGCCCATCCCCGCGCCTGCAGGGGCGCCCGTGCCCCCAACGATGCGGAGGGGCGCCCCCCCACCGTCCAGCGGGGGGCGACCTGGCGCGAGGGGCGCAGAGGCGGAGGAAGCGGAGGGGAAGGCGGAGGAGGCCGGGTGGAGATGCGCGGATGGCGGAAGGGAGAGGGGGGAATGCCCCGTGTAGTGGGGCTCGGGGGGATGCGCCTGCCCCTGCGAATGCAGCTGCAGAGCGCCCTGCCCCTGCCCAAGTTGTGGCGAAGGCGCGGGAAGCGCGAGAGCGTGCGTGTTGGGCGGCGCAGGCGGAGAAGACGCCGCTTCCGCGGCGTGCGCAGCGTTGGCGAGCTCGTCGTCGAAAGTGTGCTTGCGGAGCATGTCGACGAGCTGGGGACGGGGAAGGGGGGGGGAGAAAGTGGGAGGGGGGGATGGGGAGAGATACGTGGGGGAAGAGCGATAGCGTTGGACGCTGAGAGGGAGGGGGGCTAGCGAAGGAGAGTGCGGGTGAAACAAAAAGAATGAGAGAGGCGGCGACGCAAGGCGCGGGATGGGAACGCGCGGATAACCGCAAGCAGCGATGCTCGGAAGCAGCAGATCGAGTGGCGGAAGGCGGGCGGGCGGCGGAGGGCGGAGGGCGGGTGGCGGGGGGCACCTTCTCCTTGGGCTGTGCGTGGATGAAGCGGATCTCGGGGTGCGACTCGGGCATGGGGCGGAAGTTGGTCATGGCGTCCCGGCCGCGGAACTTGAGCGCGGCGCGGTCGTAGGCGCGCGCGGCGTCGTCCTCAGCGTTGAAGGTGCCGAGCCACACGCGGCTGTGCTTCTCGTAGATCTGCGCGCCCCACCGCCCGTTGGGCTGCGGCACCACCCCGCGGAACTGCGACGACAGCATGCGCGACGCCTCCTTCTCCACGCCCTCCTCCGAATCCTCCTCCTCCTCCCCTCCATCCCCGCCATCCCCCGCTTCCGGGCCCGCCCCTTCCGCGCCCGCCCCTTCGGACCCTTCCCCTACCATCCCCCCCATTCCCCCTCTCTCCCCCGTCAAAGAGTCGGTTCCGCGCCCCGGTGCCATTTCTCCGCCGGCTTGCACAGCTGCTGCCTGCGCGGGGCTGTTGTTTTTCGCAACATCCTGCGCGCCAGCGGTGGACGGCAGCTGCCGGCTCGCGCCTGCCCCGACGGCAGGGCTGCCAGCTCGCGCTGCCAGAGAGGGTTTGCCGTCCGGATGCGAGGCGGCTAGGTCTTGCGCTTGCCCCTGCGCCTGCCGGTGCTCGGGCTCGCTGGCTCGCTGGTCGCAGTCGGGGCTGTATCCTGCCAATACGATCTTCTCCGCCTTCTCCGCCTCCGCGTGCGCCAGCTCTCCCGCCACCGGCGCGGCGTTTGCCCGCGCAACTAGCCCACTGCTACTTCCGCCCACTGCGCCCCCCCCCCTTGACCAACCCCGTCCCCTGCCCCCTTGGCAAGGCCCCCATTCGCATCTCCCCCGGCTGGGGGTTGTGTCCCCTCCCCGCCTTCCTGGACTACCTGCGCCGCTCCCCCCCCCTCCTGTTCCCCGCACCTCGCGTTCCTCGCCCCGTCCCGGGATGTCCCCTCTTCCCCCTCACCATCCGCCCCCTCATGGACCTTCCGCCCAGTGTCCGCTATAGCGTGCGCTACAACCGGCTCTGGCTCCCCCTTTGCATGTCCCGTGTCTCCAGCAACATCCCCCGCGCCATCTCCGCCGATCTCGCTACCTCTGCCCTGTTCCGCCTGCTCCCCGCCGTCCGCTCTTTGAGCCTCCCCCGCCTGAGGGGCTGGGGAACCACTCCCGCCTTCACCCTGAGCCGCAGCTGCAGGGAGGGGAGCGGGCGCTACCGCGGGGGATTTGGGCGCAACCGCGGGTGATCTAGGCGCTAACGCGGGGGACTTGGGCGGCGCCCGAGAAGCGGCGAGTGCCTGCAGGTGCTGCAGGCGCTGCCCCACGCGCGAGACCAGGTCGTCCGTCAACTCCATGCCCCCGCCGCCCCCCCTGCCGCTGCTGTCCTCGTCGCGCAGCGACGCTAGAGCTGCCTTCAATAGATCCTTGTCGAACCCCGCTGGTAAACTGTCCATGGTGATCTTTCTCGGAAACTTCTAAACAACGCGAGCACAACTATGGATTGCGAGTGGCGAAAATGGAAATACGGCCGGTTAATAGTTGTTATTTATCAAGGAAAGCTTGATAATTGGATGTGATGTTAACGAGCGAAGACTCCTCGCAGGAGGTAGTCCGAACCTGAGGGAACGGGAAACGGCAGAAAAAGGGGAGAAAGGGAGGGGTGGCAGCAGAAGGAAGGCACAAGTTTAGGGAGAGACACGGAGAACGAGACAGCGCTGACGAGCACGACGACAACGACAGCAAATAAATGCGAGAGGCCGACAAATAAGACCGACTGACGGCGGCGAGGAAGGCGGCAACGAGGACTAAGCGATGCTAAGACTGAATCAACATGCGAAGAAAGCAGGTAATACACAAGAGGGCGATAACAGAAACTAAGCCATGGAGACAAATCACGAAAATGGCTGCTAAACGAAACCTTAGAAACGCGCAAGAAACAGCGAATCGAGTGTATAAGGCGGCTGGTCGCTACTGCAAAACTGAATAAAATTAGCGGTTTACACGCGGGAAAATGGATGGAGGTGGGTAATCGAGGTACCTGAGCTCTTGGCTCAACATGGGAGGTAGGCTCCAAGGAGCAGCAGAAGCAGAGGCAGCAATCGTTGCGTTGCAGGTCACCTGGAACAGCAGGTAGGGTTTCGAGCGCATGTGAAATAGAAGCTGGGAGGGCGAGGGCACCTGCCACCTGACTCCTGAGAGAAGAGCCACCAACAGACGCGCCAACATGACCACGCCTCTGCTCCTGTGCTGCCTGCCTGCCTGCCTGCCCGGGTGCCTGGCAGCCTGGCTGGCGGCCTCGGGTGCGCGGGTGATGGGAGTGATGCCTGGCTGGAGAGGAGAGGACAGAGGGGGCTTGGCGCGCCAGAGAGCGGTAGGGCTGACCCTTCCCCTCGCCCCATGCGCAAAAGCCCCAGATGGGTGCCCCGCAGCTGGTGTGCTGCCGTAACTGTCGCCCGCCAAAGTTCCCCGGCCTGCTTCCCTCGAACCGAACCCTATCCCTTGGTTTTGCCGCTTCCTGCTCAGCCACGTATTTCGCCTGACATGCAACGGTTGCCTCCCAACATCGTGACGCCAGCAGGTCCGTGATGTAGGTCAACGACTGCAGCCTGCGACCAAGTGATAGGGTTCACCTGGAGAATCCAATGGCATGCTCCTGCCACGTCAATTCCGCTCCAAACATTTGGAAGTTCAAACCACAATGTAGATAAAGTGTAGCGTTGTCGAATCGGATGTATGGCGTTCGAATAAAAAGTAGTTATTGTCTATCTTAATATCTTAATTACAATATCTTAATTACAATATCTTAATGCAGTTCTTTACAAGGAAAATACATCGGAGCTCAGTATTAGGGGCCTCGATAACATGTACGGTCAGTGACACGATATAAACAATCAGAATTAGCGAGCTCGCAACATATTTCATCAGTCGAGTTCCACCGTTAGTCAGAAACTACAGGAAAAAAGCTCCACGAATGGTCATTAGAAGTAACCCTCGACCGTATGGGAACGTTTTCCCACCCGCGCCAGCCCGATTTCGTCACCATTGTGGCTGGCGCGATATTTTTCCCGAGGTCCAAGCGCAGTTCGAGCGAAAAAACATACAATGCCCTAATCAAAATTCGTTGGACATTTGTTTGTCGAGAAACACGAAAACACGATTTTGTTTCGAATGACATAATTTTTTCCCAGAGTGTAGCGCGTCCCGCGATGATAAAAATTTGCGGCTTTATCTCTACCGCATTTGCGGCCCCAAAAAAAAGTTAAGCCATAAACGTGCTGTCATTCCCGAGTCGTCCGAAAACAAAAGCATATATAGATAGCTACGGAGGTTTGTTTTCGGGAAATGAATATGTTTAAAAACACTTCAAGGTACTCTCAGAACCACATTTAATTTTGTATTAATTTCAATACAACGAATCTATTAGAAGTCCGCCGGTTATCTTTTGATTTTTTTCAACAAATGTATTTACCGGAAAAGTTTTCCGCCGAATTACGAGTCTATAGGTCTTGTCATGCTCGAAACAAATTAGCGCACGCGCACTACATTTTAATTTTCACGCCTCATCGGCTTAGCGCCCATCCCCGATAGATTGTGACACGACTTTCAGAGGAGTGTGCAGTGCAGTCGTCATAGCATTTCAGATCTCAATGATACAGCACACTCATAGTTAGAAGTACATGGATGTTCTAAAGGACGAAGCTAAACAGGCAGATGCCGACTAGGAAAATGGGAGAGGGGGGGTGGGAGCAATCAGAGAAGAGAAATGAGAATGAGACTAGGTGGCAGGTCCATCGGACCTGCGAGAATGTGAAGGAGCTTGTCTCCTTTGCAGCAAAACTCCTCTTCAAATCGAATCACAATCTGTTAATTTTTTATTCCTAAAAAATTATTCATATTGTGACACGACTTTCAGAGGAGTGTGCAGTGCAGTCGTCATAGGTCGAACGAAACATCAGGGAGGGGGTTGACGGCGGTGGCGCTCAAGCGTGGCTGCATATCGAGCAGTTGGACTGGAGCGGAGAGGGTCCTGAAGGGTCCGTGAGGCAGCGATAAGCTCACGATCGAGCTGGGTGACATAACGCTCCTTAGCCGTGTTGCTGCGCCAGCGGCCGAGGGCCTTAAAGAGCCGATCAGGAACACCAACATCAACGGCCGTGGTGGCTGCGGACTTGCGAAACGAGTGTGTGCCAAGGACATCAGGATTGAGTCCGACCCAAGAGAAGGAATCCCGGCACCAACTCTGAATGGTGGCATACGGAGGGGAGCGATCAGAAGGGGAAGCTCGAGAGCCCAGTTGAAACACACGGATGAGGGGGCCGAGAGACTGGGCGGAGTACCCAGCGAGGAATAGGAATTGCTGGATGCGAGAGACGGGGCAGTGGCGAGCGGAGGAGGCAGCCACAGGAATCCATGCACCAGTACCCGCTTGATCGGTCTTGGAGCGGGGAATGAACAACCACATACAGTCCCGGTCAAACTCAATCTGGTGCCACTGGAGGGATATCAGATCAGAGAAGCGTAGAAAGGCTGCAAACATGAGGAGAGGGATCAGCCCCTTCTGGAAGGTCGCAGGATCGGACGACGCGAAGTAGACGTCGCAAATATCGTAGATTTTTTCGGGTGGTATCGGCTCCTTAGCTCGAGCGGGCCTGCCGCAGTGGCGTTGCGCATACTCCTTCACTTGGGAAGATAACGGGCCGCGAATAGGAGAAGGAAGGCCGACTAGCCAATGGGCACATGAGATGGCAGAACATGCGGATCGCACTGCTGAAATAGTGGCGCCACTGCGGATCGAGTGCAACAGGAACAGTGCTGCCGTAAGGTTGCTGACAGTTAGAAAAGGAAGCGAGTGCGCGGTACAAAAGGCCCGATACTGTCGCCAGTAGGGCTCGTATGTACGAAGAGTAGACTGTGCACGAAGATCGACTGTGAGCGTCAAGAGATCCAAAAGTAAGCGGCCGAGGTAGGAATATGCGCAGAGGCACAGCGCTATGTATTAGTGAATAGCAAGTGAAGCGCGTACATCAATGAGTTCGGGAGACCTGCACCGCTAAAGGCAGAATGGTCGCTACCAATGCGCAAACAACTAGAGCCAGGAGCAAGGCAAATGGTTGCGACCACAGCGGGGGCCCAAGAGGAGCCGTCCGGGCATAATAGTGGCCACCAAAAGGCTCTAGGCCAATGCCAGATTACAAGGGTGAGCGAGGTGCGCGAGCGGCGGGCGTGAGCGAGGACAGCGGGGATCAGGGGTGGGGGAGGAAAGGCGTATCAGTTGTCGCCCGACCAACTAAGAGAAAACGCATCCTGCGAGACTACCGCGTTAGAGAGCTCGAGCGAGCAAAAACGGGCCAGTTGCGCATTAGCCGGGGAAGCGAACAAATCAATAGTATGAGGACCCCAACGCCTCTCTAGTAGAAGAAACCAAGGTCGTGCGAGAGAGAAATCGTCGAGAAGATCCAACTTGGAGAGCGTGTCGGCTTCTGTATTAAGGGTGCGTGGGATCCACTGGACTGTGAGCCGAATTTGGTGGCGCACGCAAAGGTGGATAATAGCTCGGCATATCCGAGTCAACTCAAGCCGGCGGGAACCCCCTTTTTTCATAATGTAATAGGCCGCTTGGCTGTCACTGCGGAGCAGGACGTGCGAGCCTCGGACCTTGTCAAGAAAGGTTGACAGTGCCCAAAGGATGCCAGCAAGTTCACGGAGCGTGCTGGATGAAGAGACGAGGGCCCGGGGGAGTGGTGAAGCATGCGAACCGGCGTGGCCGTCCGGCGCTGAAAAACACTCGCCCCATGCGCGATCACTGGCATCCACATACATCACGACGTTGTAGAGATGAGGATTGTGGAAGCGCGATCCATTGAAGACATCGAATTGGGTGAGCCAGAAACGCAACTCGTCGAGAGAATTGGGTGTCAAGAGAATTGACGCCCCCCAAGAGTGACACTCAGAGATCTGAGAAAGAAGATTGTGGGAGAAGGCACGCGCGACCGTGCCAAGTGCGAGCGCCATGGAGGCTGGCAAGTCAATGATGCGAGCGGCCCGACGGACTGGGATAGGCCGCCCTTGCGCGCTAAGTGCACATGTCTGCTCAAGTTCGGCGAAGAGTCGCTTGCGTCTGCTATCATTGACGGAGAAAGACGTGGTGCGAGTGTCCAGCAGGAGGCCCAAAAACTTCAGGCACTGGGTTGGTTCGAGCCGCGACTTCTTGAAGTTGACAGCGAAGCCAGCTGCCTGTAGATCCGCTAAAATGACGGCACGGTGGCAAAGGGCCTTGGCTCGAGTAGCGTTGATGAACAAAATGTCATCGACGTATGGGATAAGTCGGATGCCGCGTCCGCGCCAACGTTTTGCGATCAGCTAAGTAAAAACGAACGGCGTAGTAGCTAGACCAAAAGGCAATGATAGAAACTGGTAGCGCTGCCCTTGGAGTGTAAAACCAAGGAAGCGCCAATACGAGGGATGGATATCCACATGGTGGTAGCCGGATTTTAGATCGATGGTGAATAGCCAATCGTCTTGCTGCACCAAGTCGGGCACCCGATTCAAGCCCTCGTAGCGAAAACGGGGGACGGAAAGAAATGAATTCACGTGGCGGAGGTCCAATATGAGCCTCTTTTTGGAAGGTTGGACGACTACGTTAAGCGGGCTGATGCATGTGAGTGGCTCCGATGGAGGAACGAGCCGGGCCGCTCCCGTAGCGAGGAGCTCGTCCACCGCCTCCACCGTGAATGTGTGGAATTGGAGTGCCCCGGCATGGTTTGAGGCATGCCGCACTGTAGGCTCTGAAGAAGCCCAGGGAAGGCGGTAGCCTGACGCGAGGACCGATAGCATGAAGCGGCTATCGCACCGACCGGACCACCATGCAAAGCAGGCACGCAGGCGTCCTCGCATACGGATTGTATCACCCGATGTGGCAACATGTACGGCGAAGGAGCCAAGCTCTGGTGAGGGGCGGTGACGAACAAGTACAATAAAAAAGCCGCAAGGGCCGGAGGTAAGTTATCGTTCTTGACTGTACAAATACGTTTGCCGAAGCATGCGTAGCGTGAGAAGTGTGCTCGAAATAGTCGAAGCGAAAGCAAGAATGAAGGCAACACTTTTCGCAGTGTGCGCACCAGCAATGTTACAATCTTTGTCATGCTTTCATTGGTCGGAGGTGCGTGCTCCAATGTTCCACGTGTGTTTTGTACCTTTTGGACTGCCTTTCTTTTCCAGCACTTCTGCCGTTCTCATGCTTCCCCCTACTCCCTTTTTTGGGGTTGTTGTTGTTGTTGTTTTTTTTTTTTTTTTTTTTTGCACGCAAATATTGAATAGCATATTGCCGTGCTATATTCGAAGCGGATTTGAGCCGCATGCTCGATCACCAATTGGCACAACATCAATCTTTAACATGAAATTATAGATTTATAGCATCAAGGTTTTACAAATAATCGGCCATCAAAGCCTCTAGACAATCTTAGCCGGCCGGTTGGCCCCTTGGCCTCGGCGAGGACAATCTTTAAACCCATGACCGGGTTCGCGACAATAAAAGCATCGACCGTCGCCATCTCGACGCCACGTATTCCAAGTACGTGCACCTTCACTCCTACTACGAGGGGGGGGGATCGGTGCGGGATGTTGTGGTGGTGGGTCTAGTATCTTAGAAACTTAGGACTCAAGGTTCTTAAACTTAGGAGGCTAGGAAGGCTAGGATACTAGGAAGAAGGCCGCCATGGAATAGTGTGAGGAAAACGGATCTAGGAAGGGAGAGAAAGTCGAGAAGAAAAGGTGTTTGATTAGGAAGAGAGAGGAGTACAAGAAGGGGTTTGTACCCTCTACAGAAAGGTTCAGTAACAACCTACCAAGCCTATATTAAATTATAACTTATATAATTTTAACACACCCCCTAGGCTTGGTAGTGTCAAGCCCACACACACCCCCACACCCACACCCACACCCACACCCCCTAGCCCAGCACCCCCATTCCCAGCAGGAGCCGCAACGACTCCGGAAGAGGGTAGGTCTCACGGCCCCTTGAGACGGCAATGGCGACAGCAGCGACAGTGACGACGGCGGCGGCGGCGGCGGTGTGCGGCGGCTCCAGGCCTGCGGCAACAGCGGCGGCGCCGGCGGCTCGAACGACAGAGGCTGGTGCGGCGGCCCCCGCCCTCTCGGCGGCATGTCCTGTCTCCTCGGCGGTGGAGAGGTCCCTCACATGGCAGTCATCGGCTGCAGCAAGAAAGGGGGGGATGCAGGGGAAGCAGGTGCAGGTGGGGGGGGAGGGGAGGGGGCGGGGCGAGGCGAGTCTTCAGCGACGCGCCATAAATGGCGCGGCGCTTACTGGCGGGAGGACGTCGTCCTGAGGGACGCCTGTCTGTGGCGAGCGGGCGGCAGGCCCGGCGACGCCACAGACGTCGCTCGGCCGGCCGCAACCCGACGATGCCGTCGGCTGCCGCAGACGCCGCCACAGCGCACCGTCAATGTCGCAGCGGCGAGGCGGGCGGGCGACGGCTGCACCAAGGGGCCGTCGCGACACCTTGGCGCCGCGACGGTAGGCAACGAGGGACCGTCGCGACATCTTGGTGCCGCGACGGCAGGCAACAAGGGGCCGTCGCGACATCCTGGCGCCGCGACGGCAGGCAACAAGGGGCCGTCGCGACAGCTTGGTGCCGCGACGGCAGGCAACAAGGAGCCGGTCGCGGCACGACGCGGCCAGTGGCAGCGCGACGTCGCCACTGCAGCAAAACGCGGCTGCCATGGCCGCTCGAGCGAATGAGGGTGAGGAGTAAATGGCGGAAGCGTGAGGAGGCGGTCCAGCAGGGAGGATCTCCTGCTCTGATACCATCTTAGAAACTTAGGACTCAAGGTTCTTAAACTTAGGAGGCTAGGAAGGCTAGGATACTAGGAAGAAGGCCGCCATGGAATAGTGTGAGGAAAACGGATCTAGGAAGGGAGAGAAAGTCGAGAAGAAAAGGTGTTTGATTAGGAAGAGAGAGGAGTACAAGAAGGGGTTTGTACCCTCTACAGAAAGGTTCAGTAACAACCTACCAAGCTTATATTAAATTATAACTTATATAATTTTAACATAGTAGGTCTCTTTTTGCTGGCCGCCACAATTTGTGTGGCGGCCTTAACGTTCTTATCTTCCACCACCTCCCCATATTTAATCTTTAGGGCCATATTGGCCACTTTAATCTACGGTGAATAAGAAGTGAATCTTTTCCTCCGCCTCCTCGACTATCTGCTGGAGATAGTCGGCGGCTAACTTGCCACCACTAGGGGGCAAAGCGGAGAGCGCATGCCGAGCAATAGCCTTGATACGCTCGAAACTAAAAAGTTGGGTTCGAATGCCGTCACTTTTTACCAAAGAAGAACGCAACTGAGGACGTGCAGGAGGGATAGGAGCAAGATTCGGGGCGGTAGAACCGGACTTGAGACGAGCGGCGTTACCTTCGTCAAGGGTTTCCATGGGCGCGTCATCGTCCGCGCCATCGCCCTCAGGTTCGGCCGCGACGGGAGGAGGGCGGGAGCGTGGCACTGCTGCTGCCGCAGGTCGAGAAGGTGCAGGGGGTGGTGCTGGATCACCGGATTGTCCGCGCTGAAGGGCCGCGAGAAGACCGATGACGTGATGAATTCCGTCATTATTAGCGTTGTCGTGGTTGTTGTAACGAGCAGGAATGTGTTCTGCAGATCGGGGCGCTGTAGAAGCAGAGGAGCGCGCTGTAACGCGTTCACCAATTGCAGCACCCGTGAAGATTCGCTGGAAATTTCGCTGGGTGGCGGGGTCTAGACGCGCCAACATTTCGGCGAAATTTGCAGATCCATTGGCGATGATGACAGGATCCTGCTGTGCGCGCTGATTCGTCGGGCGAGATTCCAAATCGGCGTGGACGTCCAGATTCTGGCGATCGCCACGATCCTGGCGCTCCTGGCGATTTGCGCGCTGGTCAAGATTCTGACGACCCAGGTCCTGACGCGTCTGGTCACGCTCAGGATTCGACTCATCATTTCGACCTGCGCGCCCAGGATCGCGATGATCATTGCGATCCTCGCGCGCAGGACCGTCATGATTGCGGCCGAGGGGTGCCGCGCGCAACTGTTCCACGGGTGTCGGGGCGTTTTCTCCTGGCGGGTTCAAGTCGACACGTTCACGTTCTTCACGCCGCTCGCCACGAAACCCGGGGGGAAAATCGCGACCATCAGAAGCGTTACGATCTCCGACGGGAGCCAATCCGGGTTGCTGAACGGGGTTTCGCCGAGCGCCATTCAGCAGATCCAAGGCAGTAACAGATGCGTTTCTGTTGCGTGGAGAGCGGGAACGACCACGGTGAGTAGAAGAATCTTGACTTCCCTTACGCACAGGGGATCCACGTCGTCCATTGCTCCTTAAATTCATTCTTGAAACAGGAGGAGGACCAGTTGCAGCAGAAACAATTCCTCCAGTCATGGTAGAAAAACGTGCAGCAATCACGTCCTCAAGTAGCGTGCTCCTATGCCCAGGTCTGGGCATAGGAGGGGTTTAGAGTGTGCTGATGGTAGTAAGCAATCAGAGAAGAGAAATGAGAATGAGACTAGGTGGCAGGTCCATCGGACCTGCGAGAATGTGAAGGAGCTTGTCTCCTTTGCAGCAAAACTCCTCTTCAAATCGAATCACAATCTGTTAATTTTTTATTCCTAAAAAATTATTCATATTTTCCATTTCGTGTTTTTTTCTTGTAGTTTCTGACTAACGGTGGAACCCGACTGATGAAACATATTGCGAACTCGCTAATTCTGATTGTTTATATCGTGTCACTGACCGTACATGTTATCGAGGCCCCTAATACTGAGCGCCGATGTATTTTCCCGTTGAGGGTTACTTCTACTGACCATTCGTGGAGCCTTTTTCCTGTAGTTTCTGACTAACAGTGGAACCCGACTGATGAAACATGTTGCGAACTCGCTAATTCTGATTGTTTATATCGTGTCACTAACCGTACATGTTATCGAGGCCCCTAATACTGAGCGCCGATGTATTTTCCCTATGCCAATCAGAACTCCGTGAATGTATCACTAACTGCGTGTCTAATGTTTTCTTATAGAAGAATACAAGAGCAAAGCCAGGCTAAACCCTCAAGCGAAAAGAACTAGATGAATTCTGTATACAAAAGTCTGTCGTATCCCTATTATGATGACAATTCAGCTACTGCAATATCTGAATGAAAGACTGGCTGCATGCGGGAGTACCCTGAGCCCAGGTCTCTTCAGTCAGCATCGCTGCTCCTGCATCTGATCAGCTGTCTGAAAACGGTTCGCACATCACGTAGTTACTCCTCCTATGCGCGCACTGCCGCGCTGATGGAGCCCACCCGCGTGACGGCGGAGCGCGTGGACAACATCTCCTTCAAGAAGGTCGGCAACGAATTCCGCCTCGCGTCGGCCAAGGACGTGCACGATGCTAGCCGGGGGGGCGATGGGCGCCCCGGATCTGACGGCGAGAGCGACGGCGAGGGGATCGGGGGAGACGGGCTGTCGCTGCCTGCGGGCGGCCCTCGCCTGGCGCTCTCCAACAAGTTCGGCGTCACCGTGCTCGCCGGCGCTTGCGGTACTGCCCCTCGTTGCCTCTCGCATCCGAGCCCCATTTGTTCCTGCTTTCCTGAGCGTTTTTACACCCGAGCCCATTAATCTCCCCTCGCCGGCGCTTGCGGTCTCGCTGCTACCTCGCCTGGCACAGCGATCATCATTCAAACCACCCTGTCAATTGTTTACTATGTCCCGTGCCTACCAAGTGTTGATTGTTTCTCCTCGCCTCTCTCGCTTTCTCTCGCCTCCCCATCCCTCTCCACCCCCCCATCGCAGGCTTTTACGCGGCGCACACGCGCGATCTGCTCGTCGTCGCCATGGCTTACAAGCGCCGCGCCGAGGCAGGCGACACGTTCCTCGACGCGCCGCTGTACGCCGGCGCTACAGCCGTGCGGCGCTACCGCCAGGAGGGCGTCACGGCTGTAGCGCTGGCCGCCGACGAGCTCACACTGGCGGTTGTAGCGGGGAGCCACGTGGCGCTCTACAGCCTGCCGGCGCTGGTGGCGCCGTGTCCCGCCCTGAAGACAGACGAGGAGGTGAGAGCCGTGAGATGCATGTCGCTCTGGCGGCTCTAGTCCCCGTTCCTAGCCTTCTCTCGCTCCCCTCCTCTCCCACCATCCCTGCGTCTCCATGTCCGTCTCTCCTTTGCCCTTCCCTCCCCCTCCCTCCCTCCCCCTCCCTGCACCCAGGCGCTAGTGGCAGAGGCTGCGGCGTCCAAGGCAGCGGAGGCGGGCGGCGCAGCAGCGGCCATGGAGAGCCCCCCGCCGCCCCTGCAGGCGCTGGACGTGGCGGGCGCAGTGCAGCAGGCAGCACGGGACAGGGGCGCGGGGGGGGAGGAAGGGGGGAGGGTGGCGGAGTGGGGGTGGAACCCCGAGGTGTCGGGAAGCTTCCTAGTGCGCACAGAGGGCGGCGCGGTGCTGGCAGGGCGCGTGGGACAGGGGGGGCTCAAATACGTGGCGGATGGCGCTGCTGCTGGTAAGCCTCCTGCTGCTGCTGCTGCTGCTGCTGCTCTCTGCTCTGCTTGAGTTAGGCTTCCCGTGTTTGCGGACTCTGTCTTCCCACCCCCATACGCCTCTCCTCCCCCCTCGATCATCCCAATCGCCATCCCGCGTTTCGTCCCCCAAAGACTCCGCACCGTTGATTGCTGCCAACACCTCCTTCCCCTCCCCCCCCAGCCGCCTGGAGTCCGTGCGGCATGTTCATCGTCACGTGCTCTTCCTCGGCGCGCCTTACCTTCTTCTCCGACATGCACGCACCGCTCTTCTCCCTCGCACTTGCGCTGCCCTCGCTGGGCGACCAGCCCGCCTCTGGTACGTGCGAATGCGTGCTGCTGCCGCCTCCCTCTCTCTGTGCCTTGTCATTCGCTTTTCTCCCTGCTACACGCCCACTTCTTCCCCGCGTCACGTGTGCTCGACACATGCTCCTGGCCATTCCGTCCGCTCGTCACTCCTCTATCCTCTCTGGGTGCCTCTACGCCTCTGCGCATGGTGTGTCCTCACCACATGACATGGCTGTGCGTGCACCAGTGGTGTCGGTGCGGTGGGTGGCGCCCCAGGCGCTGCTGCTGGAGGGGGAGGACGAGGACGAGGACTTTGGCGAGCCCGTGAGGACGCTCTTCTGCCTCTCCTCCGACCACGGCAACCTGCACGAGGTACTGCCCCCCTGCCCCCCTGCCCCCCTGGCACCCTGGCACCGTGGCACCGTGGCACCGTGGCACCCTGGCACCGTGGCACCCTGCCACCCTGCCACCCTGGCACGGTGGCCCGGTGGCACGGTGGGAATAGTTGGATGCAGCACTGCGGGCGCCCACTCGTTCCTGGCTTCTTCTTTCACTCAAAGCTCCCCTGCCTGCCACCATATCCCCTCACTCTGAAAGCTTTGCGCGTGCTTGGCCACCAGGAGGCGAGCAGCAAGCGCGTGCGCAAGCTGGAGGGGGCATTCGCAGGCGTGGAGGACGTGCCAGGCGGCGGCATGCTGCTGGCGACGCTGCAGCACTGGTGCGTGCCATGCCAACCCCTCACAAGCACCGCATGCATGCATGTGTCTCATAATGCACCCACATGCCTCCACATGCACCCACATGCCTCCACATGCCTCCACATGCACCCACATGCCTCCACGTGCACCCACATGCCTCCACATGCCTCCACATGCACCCACATGCCTCCACATGCACCCACATGCCTCCACATGCCTCCACATGCACCCACATGCCTCCACATGCACCCACATGCCTCCAGATGCACCCACATGCTTCCACATGCCTCCATATGCCTCCATGCGCCCACCTGGTTCTAGTCGCCAGTCCCCAACGCCCTCCACTGCATCGTATGCCCACAGTGTCTGCCATCCCGCTGTTCACCCTCTCGTCCTTCCCCATATCTGCATGCATGCGTGCAGGCAGGTGGCAGTGGCGCTGTGTCAGCGCAGCAGAGACTACCACGTCAACGTGCTTGGCTGGTACCCCCCGCCCTCTGCGAGCAAGGAGAAGGGGGCCGAGGAGGAGGGAGGAGGGTGGGGCAACGTGCGTGTGTGTGAGATCGCCAACGACCGATGGCTGGCGTGCATTCAGAAGCAAGGTGGGGGGATGGTGTGAGGGTTGTTTGCGTGCAGCAGGGCAGGGGGTGAGGAGGAAGACGCCTTTGCATGGCACGTGTGCGTGTTGCCCTGCTGCCCTGCTGCCCCAACTCCTCACTGCCCCCATCGCTATTCTCATCTTCCATCTCTCCTCCCTCTCGCGCTCTCCCCGCATCTCCCCCTTGTCTCCTCCTGAGAGAGCGGGTGGCAGCCAGGGGGTGGGCATGGAGCACGGAGCACAGTCAGGCCGCAGTGGACGCGTGCAGCTATAAGCCACCCACCACATTCTTCACTCAACGTGTATCCAACGCTCCATCCCTTTTCTCCCCCACCTCCATCTCCCCCCCCCCCCTTCATTCCCCCGGTCCCCCCCCCAGAGAGCGGCGACGACAACCAGGTGGTGGGCATGGCGGCGGACCTGTCCACCTCATGGGAGGCAGTGCGCCCGCTGGACCCGCGGGATGACGAGACGCCGCTGCCCGCCACGCCGCTGCTGCTCGCCTTTACTCTCGATAGCTGCTTCTACGCTTTCTCCCTCGCCCGGTAGGCCTCCTCTCTCGCCCGGTAGGCCTCCTCTCTCGCCCGGTAGGCCTCCTCTCTCGCCCGTTAGGCCTCCTCTCTCGCCCGTTAGGCCTCCTCTCTCGCCCGGTAGGCCACCTCTCTCGCCCGGTAGGCCTCCTCTCTCCCCCGGTAGGCCTCCTCTCTCCCCCGGTAGGCCTCCTCTCACCCCCGATAGGCCTTCCCTCTTGCCCGGTAGGCCTCCTCTCTCGCCCGGCAGGCCTCCTCTCTCCCCCGGCAGGCCTCCTCTCTCCCCCGGTAGGCCTCCTCTCTCCCTCGGTAGGCCTCCTCTCCCCCCCGGTAGGCCTCCTCTCACCCCCGGTAGGCCTCCTCTCTCTCCCGGTAGGCCTCCTCTCTCCCCCTGTAGGCCTCCTCTCCCGCCGGGTAGGCCTCCTTTCTCCCCCGGTAGGCCTCCTCTCTCCCCCGGTAGGCCTCCTCTCACCCTTGGTAGGCCTCCTCTCTCGCCCGGTAGGCCTCCTCTCTCCCCCGGTAGGCCTCTCCTCTGGCCCGGTAGGCCTCCACTCTCGCCAGGTAGGCCTTCTCTTTCCCCCGGTAGGCCTCCTCTCTCCCTCGGTAGGCGTCCTCTCTCCCCCGGTAGGCCTCCTCTCTCGCCCGGTAGGCCTCCTCTCTCGCCCGGTAGGCCTCCTCTCTCGCCCGGTAGGCCTCCTCTCTCGCCGGGTAGGCCTCCTCTCTCCCCCCGTAGGCCTCCTCTCTCGCCCGGTAGGCCTCCTCTCTCGCCCGGTAGGCCTCCTCTCTCGCCCGGTAGGCCTCCTCTCTCCCCCGGTAGGCCTCCTCCCTTCCCCGGTAGGCCTCCTCTCCCGCCCGGTAGGCCTCCTCTCACCCCCAGTAGGCTTCCTCTCTCGCCCGGTAGGCCTCCTCTCTCGCCCGGTAGGACTCCTCTCTCGCCGGTAGGCTTCCTTTCTCCCCCGGTAGGCCTCCTCTCTCCCCCGGTAGGCCTCCTCTCTCGCCCGGTAGGCCTCCTCTCGCCCCCGGTAGGCCTCCTCTCCCGCCCGGTAGGCCTCCTCTCTCCCCCGGTAGGCCTCTTCTCTCGCCCTGTAGGCTTCCTCTTTTTCCCGGTAGGCCTCCTCTCTCGCCCGGTAAGCCTCCTGTCTTGCCCGGTAGGCCTCCTGTCTCGCCCGATAGGCCTCCTCTCTCGCCGGGGATGCTTCCTCTCTCCCCCTGTAGGCCTCCTCTCTCACCCGGTAGGCCTCCTCTCCCGCCCGGTAGGCCTCCTCTCACCCCCGGTAGGCCTCCTCTCTCGCCCGGTAGGCCTCCTCTCTCGCCCGGTAGGCCTCCTCTCTCGCCCGGTAGGCCTCCTCTCTCGCCTGGTAGACCTCCTCTCTCGCCCGGTAGGCCTCCTCTCTCGCCGGGTAGGCCTCCTCTCTCGCCCGGTAGGCCTCCTCTCTCCCCCCGTAGGCCTCCTCTCTCGCCCGGTAGGCCTCCTCTCTTGCCCGGTAGGCCTCCTCTCTCCCCCGGTAGGCCTCCTCTCCCGCCTAGTAGGCCTCCTCTCACCCCCAGTAGGTCTCCTCTCTCGCCCGGTAGGCCTCCTCTCTCGCCCGGTAGGACTCCTCTCTTGCCCGGTAGGCTTCCTTTCTCCCCCGGTAGGTCTCCTTTCTCGCCCGGTAGGCCTCCTCTCTCGCCCGGTAGGCCTCCTCTCACCCCCGGTAGGCCTTCCCTCTCGCCCGGTAGGCCTCCTCTCTCCTCAGGTAGGCCTCGTACCTCCCCCGGTAGGCCTCCTCTCCGGCCCGGTAAGCCTCGTCTCTCGCCCGGTAGGCCTTGTCTCTCGCCCGGTAGGCCTCGTCTCTTGCCCGGTAGGCCTGGTAGGTCGCCTCTCCCGCCCGGTTGGCCTCCTTTCTCGTCCGCTAGGCTTCCTCTCTCCCCTGGTAGGCCTCCTCTCTCCCCCGGTAGGCCTCCTCTCTCGCCCGGTAGGCCTCCTCTCTCCCCTGGTAGGCCTCCTCTCTCGCCCGGTAGGCCTCCTCTCCCGCCCGGTAGGCATCCTCTCCCGCCCGGTAGGCGTCCTCTCTCCCCCGGTAGGCCTCCTCTCTCTCCCGGTAGGCCTCCTCTCTCCTCCGGTAGGCCTCCTCTCTCGCCCGGTAGGCCTCCTCTCTCGTGCAGTAGGCCTCCTCTCTCGCCCGGTAGGCCTCCTCTCTCGTGCGGTAGGCCTCCTCTCTCGCCCCATAGGCCTCCGCTTCGCCCGGTAGGCCCTCCTCTCTCGCCCGGTAGCCTCTCGTCCCCCAATGCCTCGCAACTCACGTTTTCCAGGACCGACAGCGCACCTCTTTGCCTTTCCAAGCTTGCCCCTTGTCGCCTCCTTGCACCAATTTCTCTCTATTTCCCTTTTCCGTTCTTGTTCCCCCCCCCCAGCCTGGACAAGCTCCAGGGCCCGTCTCTCGTCCACGACCCCCTGCCGCTACCGCCTGCCCTGGCCGCGCTCCCCCTGCACCCTTCCCCCTCGCCCCCGGCCCCCTCCCTGCAAAGCCATGCCTCTCCTCCCCCTTCCACGCCCCCCCCTCCCTCCCGCCCTCTGCTGCCCCCCTCGCGGCTGCAGCCCAGCCCTGTGGTGGCGGTGGGCGGAGGGGGGATGGCGGGGGGAGGCGCGGGGGAGGAGAGCGAGGGGGAGTGGGAGGGGGAGGATGAGGACACGGCGAGCAGCCCGTCCCCACTGCGCGCTCACGCTGCTGGGGGAGGGGCGGGGGGGTTGGGAAGGGTGGGGGCGATGGGGGCGCAGCAGGGGGGGCCGGCAGTGAAGGTGTCGCCCACTGCAGGCGCTGCTGAGTCGTCCCTCAAGCCGGCTGTGGCTCACCCCTTCCTGCAGCATTTCATGCACCCCTCTGCCGCCCCTGCTGCCGCTGCGCCAGCCCCGTCCACGTCACTTGCCACGTCAGCAGTGACTTCTGCTGGTGTGGCTGCTGCGCCTTCGCCGCCCTCCTTCGCCGCACCTTTCTCATCGCCCTCCCTCCCATCCTCCACATTCCCTGCCTTTGGCACTGCCCCTGCCTTTGGCTCTGCCCCTGCCTTTGGCGCTGCGCCTGCCTTTGGTGCTACCTCACCCTTTGGCGCGTCTCCCTCCCCCTTCGCCCCAAAGGCTCCAGCCTCCCCCCTCTCTCTGCCACCTGCCAAGTTACCAGAAGCTCCTGCTGCTACTGCTCCCACCACTGCAGCCGCCGCTGCAGCAGCATCATCCCCTGCTGCCACCTCTTCCCCGTCCGCCCTGGCTCCCGCGCCCACGTCCACGCTCTTCGCCCCCTTCTCTCGCCCGCCGGACTCCTCCAAGCCCCTCTCGCCCTTCCCCTTCCCCTCCTCCTTCTCCAAAGCCGCCTCCCCCTTCCCCTTCCCCTCTGCCCCTGCTGCCAAGGAACCCTCTGCTGCCCCGTCCGCCTTCCCCTCCTTCTCCCCACACGCATCCCCCTTTGCTTCCCCCGCCTCGCCCTCGCCCTTTGCCGCCTCTCCCTTCGCCCCGCCCGGCTCCAAGAGCCCCCCTCTGCACGGGCTGCCCTTCCAACCCCCTGCTGCTGCCGCCAGTGCTGCCGCCAACGTTGCTGCTGCTCGTGCTGCTGCTGCTAGTGGCGCTGGTGCTGGTGGTGCTGCAGCAGCAGCAGCAGTGGCAGGGATGGCGGCATCGAAGGCGGCGCAGGGGGGGCGGGCAGCAGCAGATGGGGCGCTGGGTGAGAGACGCCTGGCCGCCAGAGGTGCCTTTGTGGTGGGACGGGCAGGGAGGGAGGAGGAGGAGGAAGAGGAGGAAGAAGAGGAGGAGGAAGGAGAATATGAGGAAGGGGAGGAGGAAGAATATGGAGGAGAAGAGGATGAGGAAGAGTATGAGGAGGGAGCGGAGGAGGATGAGGAGGAGTACGAGGAGGAGGAGGAAGAAGGGGAAGTGTACGAGGCAGAGGAGGAGGATTGGAGGAGAGAAGATGCAGCAGGGCCAGCCATCCCAAAGCCAGAAGCGGTCTTCCCGCACCCCCCCGCCCTGCTCGCCTCGCCCATTTCCCCCGACCAGCGCAAGTCCCTCCTCCCCCGCCGCTCCTCCGGACACCCCTCCCCCCCAGCAGCAGCAGCAGCAGGGGGCGTGGTGGAGGCGCTGGTAGCGGCGATGGGGGAGGTGCGCGGGATGAGCGACGAGGTGCGGGGGGCCGTGGAGGGGGGCGGGCTGGGGGCGCGGCTGAAGGAGGTCGAGGGGCGCGTGGGGGAGATGGGGGCCGCGGTGAGAGGGTTTAAGGGCGGTGTGAAGGAGTTGGGAGGGTCGGTGGAGGAGCTGAGAGATGGCAATCTCATGGGTGAGTGGGGATGAGTGGTTGTGGGGTGCAGTTGGGGGCAGGAAGGGTGGAGGGCTGGAATGGAGGGTTGGGTAGCAGAAGGGGAGAAGAGCAGTGGGGCATTGGGGGGGGCGGCTGCTCTTCTCTGTTGCCTCGTGCTGTCTCCCCAGCCCCCTCTTCCCCCTGTCCCCTGTTCCCCCTCGCACCATCTCTCAATCGCCTCCTTCCAGTCGTCGCCTCTGCATGCACCTCCCTCTACCCCCAACCCCCCCTGCGCGCCTCCCCGCCCCACCAGCGGAGGACAAGGTGGTGCGCGCGTCCCACTGGGTGCGGCTGCTCGCGTCCCCCTCGCTCGCCTCGCTGCATGCGGACCAGCCGCTGCCGCCGTCCCTGGACGAGCAGAGGCAGCGGATACTGGCGCTCAGACAGGTGAGGGGGAACTGGGTTTGAGAGGGATAAGGGTGTGCGTTTCCCCTCTCCCCCCAACTCGCCTTGCAGCATGCCCACCAGCCGCTGCCATGCGCCCTGGACCAGCACAGGCAGAGGAAACTCAGCCTCAGACAGGTGGGGGGGAATGCACTTGCTGCATCAGCGTCACTGTTTTCCTCCCTCCCTCCCTCCCTCCCTCCCTCCCTCCCTCCCTCCCTCCCTCCCTCCCTCCTTTCCAACCCGTGCTGGTCGAGCCCTTGTATCTTCCTCTGCGCATTCACCCCTCCCGCCACCCTGCTCCTCCTTTTCCTACTGCGCCTCCTCTCTCTCTTCCCCCTGCAATTCTTCGCGCTGCCCATTCCTGCCCTCCGCTCTCCCCCCTCCCGGTTCTCCCTGTCCCCCCCCCAAGACGTGCGAGTGCGCCCAGGGAGGTGCAGCAGATGGCGCAGGAGGAGGAGGAGGAGGAGGCCCGGCGCAGGCAGCATAACCACACCATGTGTAATGAGTCGATTTTTGAGTCGACTCAAAAATCGACTCATTACACATAACCACACTACCCAATTCTCTCTTCCCTCCCACCCCCAACCCCACCTCCTTGCACCCCCACTGCCCTCTGCCCCCCCTCCCCCTCCTCATTCCCCCCCGTTCTCCCTCCCCCCCAGGAGGTGCGGGTGCGCCTGGCAGAGATGCAGCAAATGGCGCAGGAGGAGGAGGCGAGGCGCAGGCAGCAGCAGCGGGACAGGGAGAGGGAGGAGCGGGCGAGGGGGAGAGAGAGGGCGCGTGGGGGGGCGTGGCAGGGGAACGGTGGAGGCTATGGTGGCGGGTATGGGGGCAGGGGGGAGGACTTCTCATCGCTCACCTCACGCTTCAGTGGGCTCAACGTGGGCGCGGCTACTCCACCGCCTTCCCCCTGGCCGCCGCTGGCTGCCACGGTGAACGCGCAGCTGGCAGTGGCCTCCCACCTGCTCCACCAAACCGCCCTCCTGCGCTCCCGCCTTGCCCTCCCCCCGCTCCCCTCCCCGCCCCGCGCTCCCCCCCGCTCCTCTCCCCGCACTCGCTCCCCCCACCTTCTGGGTGCCCCCGATAGGGAGGCAGCGGATGGGGGGAGGGGAGGGGAGAGGGAGAAGCGTAAGGGGGGGTACGGGGGTGTGGGCCTGGGGGGGAAAGCAGGGTCCGTGACAGCAGCGGCGATTCTAGAGTCGCTGGAGGATGGGGGGGAAGGGGGAGGGGGAAGGGGCGTGTGGGGAGGGGGCGGCAGCGAGGGGGAGAGGGGGGGCAAGAGGCGGGCGTGGGGGAGGATTGGGCTGAGCGAGGGGGATCTGGAGGTGGGGGAGGAGGAAGGGCAGGAGAGGATGGGTAGAGGGGCAGAGGCAAGGGAGTGGGGGAGGGACAGTGCTGGTGAGCGGATGGGGAGGGCGGGAGGTGATTGGGAGGGAGTGCAGGAGGAGGGGGGGCGGAGGAGAGGGGGCAGGGTGGATGGAGGTGTGGTGGGGACGCCAAGGCGCAGCATGGGGGCCACCAGGAAGGTGCGTGGTGGGGTGGGGTGGGGTGGGGTGGGGTGGGGTGGGGGTAATAGAGAGGTGGGTGGGGAGTGTGCGAGAATGGTTGTCAAGGCGGGTCTTGCCATGGTGGGGTGCAATCGAGGTGGTGAGACGGCCACAGCAGCTGTGCGTGCTGGGCCTTGCTGTGGAGCTGCTTGCTTCATTGCCGTGCATTCGCCATGGCTGGGCTGTTTGATGCTGGATGCGTCCCCGCCTCACGCAACCCTGTCTTCACCGCCCACTCACTCTCATCCCTCCCCCCGTCCCCCCCCCTCCCCGCTCCCCCTGCCGCAGGCTCTCCCGCTGCATCTCCTCTCGTCGCCCTCCCTCTCCTCCCCCACGCCCAAGCGACCTCTCCCCGGCCTCTCCTCTCTTCACAGCCCTCCCCCCGCCTCCTCTGGTATGTGCCTGCCTGCTCTGCTCCCTCTGCTGCTGCCGCTTTGCATGTAACCATGTAACGTCACATCACAATATGGAGCCGCATTTCCTCATTTTCATGGAACCATGCGTGTCTGCTCCCAACCCTGCCTTGCCGTCAACCCCCTTAGCCCTCCCTCTTCTGCATCCCCTTTGCCGCCCTTCTCCCCCCGCGTCCCCTCTCAGGCCGTGGCAAGGCACCTGCACCAGCAGCACCAGCAGCACCAGCAGCACCAGCAGCACCAGCAGCACCAGCAGCAGCGCCTGGGACTGCCACCCGCTCTCCGGCAGCACTGCCCAAGGCCAAGCTGAGGGCCAAAGCCAAAGCCCCACCAGCCGCCACTCCTTCCAAGCCCACCACCCCAGCCCCACCTGCTTCCGCTTCTGCCTCCCTCTCCCCTCCCGCCCGCTCGCCCTCCCCCCCTGCCCGCACCGCATCCCCCACCCCTGCCCGCTCTTCCCCCTCCCCCTTCCCCGTCCCTGCCCCTGCCTCCGCGCCTCCATTCCTATCTGCATTTGCTCCTGCGGCTGCTTCTGCAGCAGCCAAGGGGACAGCTGCAGGCTCCAGCGGGGCCAAGGCACCAGCCGCAGGTGCAGGCATGGCAGGGGGAATAGGGGGGGCAGGAGTGGCAAGTGGTGCTGGCGCTGCCAGTGGCGCTCCGCTCTTCTCAACAACAGCCGAGCCCATCATGTCCCCGTTCCCATCACTCTCCAGCCCCTCGCCCGGCTCCTCACCCAGCTCCTCGCAAGCACAAGCGCAGCCCACGTCCGTCTTTGCGCTCTCTGCCTTTGCAGCCCGCCCTGCTGCTCAACCCAAGGCCAGCACTCCTGCTGCCAGTCAGACCAAACCGGGCACTGCAGCAGCAGGAGGGGCGTCGTTCGCCCCTCCCACTCTCTCAGCTGCCGCAAAACCACCCTCCTCCTCTCCGTTTGGTTTTGCCTCATCTTCACAGCCCACCTCCCTCTTCTCCTCATCCTCCTCCTCGTCCCTCGCGCCCTCCACTGCACCGGCCACCAAGCCATCCCTCTTCACCGCCAGTGCAACCGTCTCCCCGTTCTCAACCACTCCCTTCTCCTCCTCCCCGTTCTCCTCGCCTTCCCCCTTCTCCTCCACCTCCCCATTCTCCCAGACCACCAACCCCTTCCAGCTCGCTAAAGAGCCCCCCAAGCCACTCACTGCCACTCCTGCTGCGGCTGCTGCCAGCACAGCCTCATCCACAGCAGCATCTGGGGCTTCTGCTGCTGGGGCGAGCGCGACTGCTGCAGGCACGCCCCCACCAGCATCCACCGCTCCCTCCACTGCTGCCGCACCACCCACCCCCACCCCCTCGTCGCCCCTACCTGCCTTTTCCGCTGCCCCGGCTTCCCTCACCTCCCCGTTCTCCTCCGCCCCTGCCCCTGCCTCCCGCCCCCCCCTGCTCTCCACCACCACGCCCCTCTTCTCATCCAAACCACTCACCCCCCCCTCTGCTGCCGCCCCCCCCTCTACTGCCGCCCCCCCCTCTGCTGCCGCCCCCCCTCTGCTGCCGCCCCTCCCTCTGCTGCCGCCCCTCCCTCTGCTGCCGCCCCTCCCTCTGCTGCCACCCCTTCCGCTGTCACTGCTTCCTCTGCTGCTGCCCCCTCCATTACCCCATCGTCCGCCTCCCCCACACAAACAGCCGCTGCACCACCAGCAGCACCAGCAGCCACAGCAGCAGCCACAGCTTCTGCTGCTGCCCCCGCCCCTGCCTTTTCGTCCTTCGCTTCGCCCTTCGCCTCCCAGTCATCTCCGTTCGCCCCCTCCTCCCCCTCCCCTGCCTTCGCCGCCGCCCCTCAATCTACCCCCTCTCTGGCGTCGTCCCCCTTCCAGCCGCCCAGGTCACAGTCCCCGCAGCCGTCGGCCATGGCAGCAGGGGAGGAGGAGGGCATGGAGGAGGAGCAGGGGGCGTCTACTGCAGCCGTCAATGCGCTGCTGGGCGCTGCTGCTTCTCCCCCCGCTGCATCACCAGCGCCCTCCTTTGCTGGTGGTGCTGCTGGTGGCTTTGCCTCTCTGGGCTTTGGTGCCTCTGCTCCTCGCCCCACCACCCCGCCTGCCAACCCCTTTGGCGGCTCTCCTTTTGGTGGCCCTGCCTTTGCGTCCGCCTCTCCTTCCCTCTCTGCGTTTCCCCCGTCCTCCCAACCTGCCTTTGGCGCCAGCAGCACCTCAGCTGGCCTCTTCGCACCGCCCTCCTTCGCTATTCCGCCCACCTCATCCTCATCCCCTGCGTCCTCCTCCTCCCCCTTCGGCACCCCCTCCTCTTTTGGTGCCCCTCGCCCCTTTGGCTCCTCTGCTGGCCCTTTTGCTGCTGCTGCCTCCGCATCCCCCTTCGGAGCCCCTGCTGCCCCTGCTGCTGCCCAGACCTCGCCCAGCGCAGGGACAGGCTTTGCACTGGGCTCGTTTGGGCAGACACGAAACATTTCTGGTGCCCCAGCGTTTGGGGCTCCTGCCCAGATAGCCGCAGCAGCACCAGCTGCATCCCCGTTTGCGGCAATGGCATCAGGAGGCGGGTTTGCCGCTGCCGCCCAAGGAGGTGCGTGCAGCCACAGCCGACCCTCTTGCTTGGCTCGTTTCTCATTTGGCATTTTCCCGTGGTGTGAAATGCTGTTCTTGCCTAACCCATGACCCCATGCCCGTCCTTCACGCGTGCAGGAGGAGGTTTTGGGGCGTTCGCCAACAAGCCAGCAGCGTTCGGTGGCCGACCCACCATGCCCTCTTCCACTAGTCCTGGGGCCCCTCCTGGGCTCTTTGCCATGCGCAAGTGAAGGTTGCCTTGTGGCATGATGGTGCTTTTGGTTGGGGTGTCACATTGCTGGTTGCTAACAGTAGTTCTGTTGGTGCTGGTGTGTTGTGTTGGAAATATCTCAAGGACTTAAGCGTTTCTGAAGTGTAACACTGTACTCGAGGAAGATTACAGGGGAGCACGCGAGTCAACGGAGGTTACACGAGGGGGCGGACAAAGAATGCGAAAGGACTCGAAAGGTCGCAACTGGAGGTTGCGACTGACCGTTACAACATCACGGATGGTAACCGAAGCGGCAATCGAGTCGCTGTGCGACTCGATAAACCGTTCCTGTAACTGTATTCTACAACTGCTTTCTTATCTTCTATATATTGCTGTATGCTTGTTTCTTTAATCAATCACTTGTTCTCACATACTAGTACAAGGGTTCAACTGCCTCAACTTCCGCTGCACTACTCCAAGTCTCAAGTCTCTACAGCTGGGACTTAGTCTCTGCAAAAGATCCTAAGGGCTTTTTCAGCCCAACATGGTATGAGAGCTGGTCAGAGATCAAAACTCCCAGCAACTACACTCCATCAACAACCAGCAACTCAACTTGATTCAACAACTCCATTGATTACAAGACATGGACAACAAGGGCAAGAAAGTCTCTACGGGCTCACCCAGCGCCCAAGAAACTCAACACGGCAACTCTGGTCTGCACACCTCAGGACTGCAGACAGAGACCGGGACTACTCAAGAAACAACGGGAAGAGTACCAGAGATGGTGACTCCGTCTCCCTCTTCAAGTGTGGACCCGAATCTCATGGAGAGATTCTTCAGCTTCATGTCACACTTCGACCAGCAGCAGCAGACAAGGACACCTGCGCACTCAACACAGAGCAATGGAGGGAATATGGGATTAGCGCCGATGAGCCTCGACAACTCATCCTTCGGGCGACACAACCAAGCGCCTACCTTTGCGCCTTATCATTCTTCGCCGGGGACGTTCGAATTCATGCCGCCCCGTGCCCAGCCAACAGCAGCTGCTTCACAACAAACACCGAATGAAATCTTAAGTTTACAGGCGCAGTTCTCACACGTGATCAAACTTCAGACATCCTCACCGTTCAACGGACACGACTTCTTTACCTGGAGCTTCGAGTTTGAGCTGCTGATGGAGGCCGCGCATCTTCTGGGATACTTCAACGGGTCCCTGCCATTCCCAAGCAACGGCACTGGGAAGGAACAAGAGATCTTCACGTATCAGTCGCTGCTGGCGTACACGGTACTCCTGAGAAACCTGTCACCACAAGAGCAGCAGAGCATCAGAACGTATCGGAGTTATGGAAACTCCGCGGAGCTCGCATGGCACCACCTCAAATGCCTTTACCAAGCAAACGACAGCGTGACACAAAGCAGACTCATGCAACAGCTGACAACAATACAGATGAAGACCGGGGAAAAGGCGATGCAGTATATGAGTCGCTGCCAGACCCTCCGCGACCGCCTGCTTCGGTGCGGAGGAACGATCACTGAAGAAAGCTTCGTGACACTTGTCCTCGCCGGGCTCGGGCCAGAATGGAGAACCACACGATCACTTCTTCGAGCCCACGGAAGAATTTCAGAGATGCACCTCTGCGCCGAGCTTCACGCTGAACAACAGGAGATGGATCTGTTCGAGGAAAGACAACCAAGGAAGCAACAGCAGTTAGTCTTCTACACTCAAAGAAGAAATGACAACAACTACAACCGACGCAGCAAGCAAGATCAACGCGACAACCGAGGACTCACCATCGTGCCGCCGTTCTGCCACAACTGTCAGACTTCCGGGCACTCCAAGGTCAACTGCAACCGCCCTCGCGTTTACCGTGCAGCAGACCCACAAGTCGCTTCCACTCAAGCAAGTCCTCCAAGGCGCTCTTCAACATCTGCACAACAAACACCCAACATCATCAACTGCATGGTACACATCGACAACTGCGCACCCGCTTCACCACCCACTTACGCACCAGACGAAGAGGAATTCCCGCCGCCGCGCTCGCAAGGACTTCAGGTCAACCCGACATACGCTGCAGTCGCTAACGCCGAACCCACCGGGCGGAACACCTGGTTCTTGGACAGTTGCTGCGGTCAGCACATGTGCTCCTCCGGACGCTTCGTACAACACGAGCGACGCCTCAACCGCGACGTCGTCATCACCGTCGCCAACAACGAAAACCTGAAAACAAACAGGCAAGGCGTGGTTCAGTTACAATCAATGGAGACAAACGTTATTCTTCAGCTCAACAAAGTCCTCATCGTCGACAATCTGGGATACAACCTACTAAGCGTAAGCCAACTAATGGCTAAGGGGATTCACCTGGAGTGCGACTCCTTCTCCAACGAGTTCCGACTTTACCACGGGAAGGGCGGTCTCTTCATCGGTCGTGCCCTCCTGAAGTCCGGTGTCTTCGTGTTGGACTTCGTCCCCGACCGCGGAACTGCCGACAGCGATGGCATCGTATCGTTCGCCGCCTGGACTCACCCACCAGATCTTGATCCCGACTTCGACAGTGACGGCTTCTGGCACTCCAACACCATACCTGCAGCAGAGAGAACACGGGCATTAGCAGTTATCAGACAAGAAAGACAAGTACCAGCAAGCGTCCCAACAAAACCATCACCTGCAGTATCGGCAGCAGGACCCAGCCGAGTACCACCACCATCAACACGAGGACCGCCAACGGAAGCAGACCAACTTATGCCCGCCACACGAGAAGCTTGTCGAAGTCCCGCCTCGGTCGTCGCGTTCTTCTCCAACGCCGACATCTACCACCGCTCGCCCGGTCACCGCGCTCCCGACGACATCTGGCACCAACGTCTCGGACATCCTGCAAACAGCACGATACTACAAACAATACAAGCAGAGGTGTTAGAACGTAACGCCCTTCTAACGACGAGCGGCCAAGAACTTCGCCGACCAAGAGCACGATGCTTCACGTGCCCCGAAGCAGATCTTCCTCATCAACCTTTCCCAGCCCATCACAATCCACGCGCACCCACTTACGCTCCGATGGAAAAGGTCTACAGCGATATTCTAAACATGCCTCGAGACGACACCGAAGCCGACTTCAACTACGTCATCACGTTCATCGACACCGCAACCAGATACGTCTGGCACTTCAATCTCAAAACGCGCGATCAAGCCTTCGAGGCCTTCACCACATGGCTTCCAATCGCCGAACGAGAGTCAGGAACCAAACTCAAGAGTTTCCAGTCAGACGGTGCACTGGAATACCAGTCACAACGCTTCAGGACCTATCTCGCGGAAAGGGGAATCCGACGCCTGGTGTCTCTGCCCTATGCTCACCAGCAGCAGGGGGTAGCAGAACGCATGAACCGGACCTTGCAGACGACGATGCGAAAACTGCTTCTGGGGATGAGGCTGCCCAATACACTGTGGCCAGACGCGATGACACATGCAGTCCACCTGCACAACCTGTTGTCCTCGTCATCGCTCCCCAACAACGCATCACCGCACCTGCTGTGGACGGGAAAAAGGGGCAGCACAAAATTACTTCGAGTTTTCGGCTGCATGGTACAATACAGACCCCACACAGCTCGAGCAGGACGCTTCACTCAACGAGCTCGGTGGGGACTACACCTCGGCATCGCCAAACATTTTCACGCGTGGAAGATTCTCGACATACACGACAAAAATACGGTGGCATCATGTGATGTTATCTTCTACGAGCGACTGACGCTGAAGCCTTACCTGGACAACATTGCCAACTCAGACGACCCCACCGACGGCTTCGCGGGCCTTCGCTCCTTCGCTGACCATGCTGCCGAGGCTGACGCAGCAGAAGAAGACGTCCCTGGAGCCTCGGAGGCTGCCGGACCACTCCCCTACTGCTCCGTACCTGTTCCACTCGATGAAGATAATCCCCTCGATAGCAACAACCTCGACACCTTTTACCACTTCGCTGACCAAGGCTACGCTACACCACACCCCGTCGACTCGAATATTTCCGAACGCATCGGGCCAAACTTCTTACCCGATCCTGAAGACGGTGATGAAGCAGCTTATCCCGAGAATGAAAACTCCCCTCGACACATAGCCACGGGACTGCAGATCCTAGGACTATGGGTCTCCGTCCAGCACCCGCCGCCGCCTTCTCCGCGCGAGCCGTCGACCCTGTCGCAGGCTCTGGGGGGGGAACATAAGGCACAATGGAAGGAAGCGATGGAAAAAGAGTTAAAAGCTCTGCAAGACCGAGAAACATGGAAACTGGTACCTGCAACGAGCATCAACGGGAAGAACATTCTCTCGGGGAAATGGGTGTACCGCATCAAGACCAACTCAGACGGCTCCATCGAACGATTCAAAGCTCGATGGGTCGTACGAGGCTTCGATCAACGATACGGAACCGACTACACAGAAACCTTCGCTCCAGTCTCCCGTCACACCTCTCTGCGCATCCTACTCGCCATCGCGGCCACGAAGAAACTACCACTACGGCAAATCGACGTTGCAAACGCCTTCTTGTACGCACCTGTGGACGCCGAAATCTTCGTCGAACAACCCCACGGATTCATCGACGACCCTTCAAAAGTATGCCAGCTGAAAAAATCCCTTTACGGGATCAAGCAAGCCCCACGGCTCTGGCAGCAGCACCTTCACGGCCGGCTCGTAAAAATCGGATTCCTACAGCTACCACATGACCAAGGCATGTACCGACTACAGAAGGGAAGAGATTACATTCTGCTCATCGTCTACGTCGACGACCTGCTCTACATCGGTTCTACCACCGACATCGTCACCTGGTTCGAAGGGGAGCTGAAAAGGGACCTGACGCTCACGGTGTCCGACGAAGTTACCCAGTACCTAGGACTGAACATCGTCGAAGACGACACGGCGTTCTACCTACACGCTGGAAAGTACTCAAGCACCGTCGCGAAGAAATTCGGTCTAGCACCGACTGCGGTCCCAACTCCCTACCGCTATGGGAACAACAGTAGCGCCTCCACAAAACTCCCCGCGAAACAAATCCAGGAGTATCAACAGAAGCTCGGCTGCCTACTATTCGCAGCAGTAACCTGCCGACCCGACCTATCCTATAGTGCGAGTCAGCTGGCGACACATCTGAAGCAGCCGCAACAGGAAGATCTCGAAGAACTCAATCGAGCGCTACTCTACTTCGTCTCCACGCCGACGATCGGGCTCACCTACAGCAAGGCAACAACACCGTCCGTACAACTACTCGGATACGTCGACGCCGACCACGCGGGAGACAGCGAAAATCGACGGTCTAGGACGGGCTACATCTACCGACTAGAACCTATCGGAACTATCTCCTGGCAGTCGAGCAAGCAGGAGTTAATCGCACTATCCTCGGCTGAAGCAGAGTATATCGCCCTTTGTACTGCGACCAAGGAAGGACTCTACCTACGAGAGTTACTCGAAGAAGCGAAGATCGCGACCCTGCCCGCCTTCTCACTCCTCTGCGACAACCAATCTGCGATCAAAATCGCGAACAAGGACGGCTTCGCCAACCGAACCAAGCACATCGCCCTGCGGTACTTCTTCGTCAAGGATGAAATCGCGAAGGGGAGACTTCAACTCAGTTACTGCCCGACGACAGAAATGGCCTCAGATTATCTGACGAAGAAATTGGCGAAAGCAAAATTCGACTACTGCATGCTCCTAACCGGGCAAACAAACGTCACCGGATCTGAACACTCCAGCACTCCAGAAACGAAGGGGAGTGTTGGAAATATCTCAAGGACTTAAGCGTTTCTGAAGTGTAACACTGTACTCGAGGAAGATTACAGGGGAGCACGCGAGTCAACGGAGGTTACACGAGGGGGCGGACAAAGAATGCGAAAGGACTCGAAAGGTCGCAACTGGAGGTTGCGACTGACCGTTACAACATCACGGATGGTAACCGAAGCGGCAATCGAGTCGCTGTGCGACTCGATAAACCGTTCCTGTAACTGTATTCTACAACTGCTTTCTTATCTTCTATATATTGCTGTATGCTTGTTTCTTTAATCAATCACTTGTTCTCACATACTAGTACAAGGGTTCAACTGTCTCAACTTCCGCTGCACTACTCCAAGTCTCAAGTCTCTACAGCTGGGACTTAGTCTCTGCAAAAGATCCTAAGGGCTTTTTCAGCCCAACATGTTGGTTGGTACATGAAGCAAGAAAATGTTAGTGCTGGTTACATGCAACAGCATGGTTTGATCAAATCAATACGGTATTAGGTTCTTTATACAATACGGGACCGGTAGGTATTTGAGTACCATATCCATTTGGTAAATACTTTTTGTTAACCTCTGAATTATCTCTCTTGTAGTCGTGAGGGTGTTGCACCTGGACGATCAGAAAACAGGTGTCCAGAGACAAAGCACCAGTCGTGAAGGGCGAGACGGCCTTTGGCGCGTATTGGACTCGAGAACGCGAGGGAGCAATCCCGCACCACCGACTGAACGGTTGTGCGATCGCAGTTGCGATTCCAGCCAGTCCAGCTTCCCTGTCCCTGCGAGCCCTGGTTACATTCATTGAATTCGCGCTGTTCCATCTATGGGCTTCGCCTCGTGTGTGAACGGTTTCTCAACTCGGTCTGCCAGGTGACGTGTCCAGCGCTTTCCTCCCCCGCCCAGCCCGCCTGACGTGGTTGCGAGCTCGCGCGCGTGGCGAGGCACCGAGTCCAGCGCAGCAGCGCATTCCCCTGTCCCTTCCCCCAGTCGCGATCGCACCGTCCGTTCCCTCGCATTCACTCGCCCCTGGTTGGATCTTCTCGCCTGACAGCCGCCACTGCGAGCAGGAGGGAGGAGGGAAGGAGGGAGGGAATGGGAGCACCAGGTGTCGCGCATGCCGCAGCCTGCCATCTCCATCACCCCTCTAAGATTTCCCGTCCCCCGTTCCCTCGCCTCGAGGAGCCTCTTTCCCCCTCAGCACTCCGCACACTGCTTCTTCCGTTCCCATTTCTTGCACCTCACCTAGCGCATGATGACTGTTTTGTCTCCGACTTCTCACTTCGTTCTCGACCGTTCGCTGCTCGCATCGTCGCGCGCCTCGCCTCGTGCTTTAGTCGCCTCCTCCTTCACGCCCCCCACCAAACCTCTCGCTCACACCGCGCGAATGGCTCCCGGAGCCTTCCGCGCCCCAGCCACCCCCGCCATCCATGCTGGCGGGACCGTCGGGGGAAACGACTCGCAGGCGCAGCAGCACGCGGACCCCGGCGGAAGCAGCGCGCCGATGAGCGCGGGAGCGGCGGAGAAGTACGGGGTGCTGGCGGCGGTGATTGCAGCGCGCGGGGGCTGCGCGGTGCTAGACGGCGGGCTGGCGACGGAGCTGGAGCTGCGCGGGGCGGACCTCAACGACCCGCTGTGGTCCGCCAAGTGCCTCATGGAGGACGAAGCGTCCAGCCTCGTGCGCAAGGTGGGGTGCGGGCCACGAAGCTACTCGCAGTGAAGGCACTGAAGCCAGCGTGTCTCTCTCGTGGCGTGCGTGGTAGCGAAGCGTCGGCTGCTGCGTCAGTAGCGTGCCGTCTCACGGCGGTCGCCAGAGAAACGATCGAGGATGTCCCGTTTGCCGCCCTGCCCTCACCCCTGCTCCCATCCTGTCGCCCTCTACCCATCCCCTTTCCCCCTCCCCCATCCGCTCCCCCTTCTGCTCCCCGCGTCCTCGTCGCAGGTTCATCTGGACTACTACCGCGCGGGTGCCGACATATCCATCTCCGCCTCGTACCAGGTGAGCGCGGCCATAACTGGAAAATATTGCCACATTAGGCAGGTATTGCTATATTGGGTGCAACGCCGTTTTGGGAATAATATCGGTCACTGCCCACAGCGTGCCCACCCAATCCGATCCCCCTCGCCTACTTCTTTCCGCCATTACTTTCCCAGCGCTCCCTCCGTACCTCCTCGCCTCCGCCTCCCCGCCTCTCCTTCGTACTTCCTATGCAATTCCCGTCCTCGCTTCCCCCCTCCCAACTCCCCCCGCCCGCCTCCCCCCCTTCCCCCCCTCCAGGCGACCATCCAGGGCTTCAAGGCGCGCGGGCTGTCGGAGGGGCAGGCGGAGGCGCTGTTGGCGCGGAGCGTGCAGCTGGTGGCGGAGGCGCGCGACCGCTTCTGGGCGCAGCACTGCGCGGAGGCGGAGAGCAGGGGGGAGCGGGTGGAGCGCGCGGAGGGGGGCGTGGAGCGCGTGGCGGGGCGAGTGAAGCCGCTGGTGGCGGCGTCCGTGGGCAGCTATGGCGCGTTCCTGGCGGACGGCTCCGAGTACAGGTGGGGCAGTCGGGGCGGTAGGGGCGGTAGGGGCGGTAGGGGCGGTAGGGGCGGTAGGGGCGGTAGGGTGGTGGGGGTGGTTGGGATGGTTGGGGTGGTAGTGGGGTGCGAGTACAGGTAGGAGTGATGCGAGATGCATAGGCTTGATGCACAAACAAAAACACGAGCATAGGCGCGGATGGCAGGTACACCTGTTCCACGATTCAGTCCCATGGTTTCTGCACGCGGCTCGAGCCTGTGACCAGGAAATGGTCAAATCCAGGCAAACGGGACACTAAGGTAGAAAATCGACAGTACCCGCTGTCATTTGGTTACGTACATCTCGCCCAGGCGGTGTAGAAGATGCCGTGCGCCATCCAAGAGAAGCTCTGAAACTCGAAATTGTCAAAAACAAGATTGACTCTTCGCTGTGTATACGACTGCAGCCAATGAGATTCAGGGTCAAAGCGAGTCATGCTGAGCGCCTGGTAGGTGGCATTGCAATTTGGACTGCTGCGCTGGGGACAGTAACCGGGAAGAGGTGTAGAGGGGTACAAGTCATGCGGTGACGAGGCTTGAAGTCGGAACGCACGTTTGGATCAAGACCATAGGAAGGGAGGACACGAGATGGGAATGAGGTTGAAAACGTTTTGGTGTGAGTTTGGGCGCTCTATGCCTCAGCAGCTCAGCGCTGGACTCCTCGCCCTGTGCCTCTGGATTCCCTCCTCCCTTTCCCCCTCTCCCTCCCCCTCTTCCCCCCCCCTTTGCAGTGGCGACTACGGGCCGGAAATGACGGTGGAGCGCCTAATGGACTTCCACCGCCGCAGACTGCAGGTCACGCCCGCGCCACGCCATGCTTTGCCATGCTGTGCCATGCTCCCATTCTCTTACGCGAAAATCCTGCTCATGCATAGTCCTGCTCATGCATAGTCCTGCTGTGCCATATTCCTGTTACTCTCGTCATCCTGCCTCCCAGCTTTCTCACGCCGTTCCCAGTATTCTGCAGCGCCCTTACCTCAACCTATGCTGCCCACGTGTGCTGCCGCCCCTGGTGTGAGTGCAGGTGCTGGCGGCAGCGGGGCCGGACGTCATTGCCATGGAGACCATCCCATGCCGCATTGAGGCTCAGGTACACACCATGCCATGCCATGCCATGCCATGCCATGCCATGGCCTGCGCTGCCATGCTATCCCATGATCCGTCACGCCTATACCGTGTTTGATGCATGCCTCGTTCTCAATGCATCCATCTGCCTGGCATCCTCAGCCTCTTCTTCTCCTCACCCCCCCCTGCTCCCATGCCCCCCTCTCCCCCTCCTCCCCCCGCCCTCTCTCCCCCTCCTCCCCCCGCCCTCTCTCCCCCTCCTCCCCCCGCCCTCTCCCCCCCCCAGGCGCTGGTGCAGCTGTTGGAGGAGCACGCGCAGCAGGGCGGCCCCCCGGTGCCCGCATGGGTGTGTTTCAACAGCAAGGACGGCCGCACCGCGCCCTCCGGCGACCCCTTCGCTGCGTGCATCGCGACGGCGGCTGCCAGCCAGCACGTGGTGGCGGTGGGGGTGAACTGCACGCCGCCGCGATTCATCCTGCCGCTGCTGCAGGCCGCCAAGCAGGTCAGCCAGGCGAGAGGGGGTCAGCGCACTCGTGCTGTTGCTTTAGACATGCCGTGCCTCCAGGCCTGCTTTGGGTGTGCCGTGCCTCCAGGCCCTGCTCAAAAGTGTGCCTGCTGCTGTTGCCTGCTCAGCTTGTCAGGCCGGATTCCGCTCCTCCGTGCACTGCTTGTGCGCAGCAGGCAAGGGCATGCAGCAGCAGGCAAGGGCATGCAGCAGCAGGCAAGGGCATGCAGCAGCAGGCAAGGGCATGCAGCAGCAGGCAAGGGCGTGCAGCAGCAGGCAAGGGCGTGCAGCAGCAGGCAAGGGCATGCAGCAGCAGGCAAGGGCCATGCAGCAGCAGGCAAGGGCATGCAGCAGCAGGCAAGGGCATGCAGCAGCAGGCAAGGGCCATGCAGCAGCAGGCAAGGGCCATGCAGCAGCAGGCAAGGGCCATGCAGCAGCAGGCAAGGGCCATGCAGCAGCAGGCAAGGGCCATGCAGCAGCAGGCAAGGGCCATGCAGCAGCAGGCAAGGGCCATGCAGCAGCAGGCAAGGGCCATGCAGCAGGAGCGCGCTCATGCGCGTCATGCCTTTCATGCGCGTCATGCCTTTCATGCGCGTCATGCCTTTCATGCGCGTCATGCCTTTCATGCGCGCCATGCCTTTCATGCGCGTCATGCCTTTCATGCGCGTCATGCCTTTCATGCGCGTCATGCCTTTCATGCGCATCACACTGCCCTCCCCTCCGCTTCCCGTCTCCTTCCCTCCCCTCGTTTCCACGACCTCTCCACTTCTCCATTCCTGCTACCTTCTCCCCCGTACTGCTGTTTTCTTCACTCCCCCTACCTAACCCCCCCCTCCTTGCCGTTCTGTGTCCGCCCTGCAGGTGACGTCGAAGCCGCTGGTAGTGTACCCCAACAGTGGCGAGGCGTGGGACGGCATCAACAAGGAGTGGGTGGTACGGCCTCTTCACCTGCTCGCCCTTGCTCGCCTCCTCTCTGCTCCATTGCCCTCCCTCCATCCACTCTCCCTGTACTCCCAACCATCCTTCACTCTCTGGAGCCCTTCTTCTCGTTTGAATAACATGAGCACCAGTTATGTTAATCTGCGCTCACCTTACCCATTTTCACGCTGTGCACTTCAACCCTCCCCTTCGCCTCTCTGTCTCCCTCCCTGCAGCCCTGCAGTGGGCTGAGCGACGATGGCTTCGTGTCGTACGCGCCCGAGTGGGTGAGTGCTGGGGCGGCAGTGCTTGGCGGTTGCTGCCGCACCACACCACACACCATCTTCAGCATCGCGGCTTGCATCCACTGCCGTGGAGAGAAGGGGGTGGGGGGGAAGAGAGTGGGACCTATTGTTGTTCGTACAGACACAGAGGTAGATGCAGCAGTTGCCATTTGACACACCTTCCCAACATTTTGCTGCAATCTCTTTTCCACAGGTTACTTGGTGCATTGTACATCTTCATTTGCTTTCATGTTCCTAGATTGTTTTTATAATGTGATGTTTAGTTTTTCTCTGACGTTGGGCGTTTAGCTTGTGTAATCGATTTCCTTTTACAAATGAGGGGTTGAATGCAAGGCGAGATTATGCTAGCAAAGATGTTGCTAAGAGGGTGAGGAAGTAATAAATCACAATTATAGAATGGTCAATTTGGAGCATGCATTGTAGTTTCTCCGTAACCAAATTGAACGACTCATTGTAGGACGGCGCTGAAACCCTGAATCTGGACTACTACAATCTTTGTCTCGAAACACTGAACAATCGGGTTGAGCGATTCGACCTCCGTCAGAGCGATTCGACCAACCACGTGTTCACAAAGCACGGATGAGTTCGTTCGTAGCCATGCTGCATACTTCGTTTGGTTGAGCTCTGCTTGGCGGGTCCTTTTCGGAATCCAGCCCTGGATGCTATTGGTTCGGTGGCTGACGACCTCATCTGCCCGCGCCTCGCATTCCGCACATCCAGGGTTAAAGTGTGTGAAGGGGCTGCCCCAATTGGTTTGGTGGCTACTGGAACACCGAGCCTGCCCGCACGTTGCTCCTGCACCACACCTTTTCCCTCCCTCGCCCCAAACGTCTCTGGTTTGCCCCACCGCCATTTTTGCACCGCTGGCCTCGTCTTGTGCACCTGCTTCTGCTGCTCGCGTTTTCTCCGGCGGGTGTTGGAGAGCCACTCTGCGGTGCGGAGAGTATTTTTCGTGGTTTGGAGGGCGCAAGGGCAGCTTCCGCACACGGCCTAGAATCCCGTCACGCGATGTTTGCAAAATCCCCAACCAAACCCCTCCGCTGTCCCGTCGAAGCAAACCAAGGGCAGGTGCCTGGGTCCGCTCCGCTCGCTTGTGGTCCGCGCATTGCGGAAGCGGAACGAGCCTCTGCTCTGCTGATCTGATTTGAGCTCTCCGTCCGTAGCCTCCTCTGTCCGCCCGAGCTGCACTTGCCTCGACCGCTCCTTCAAATTTCTCCTAACTTCTGTTGAAACATAAGGTAGCCAAGTCCGTTTGAGCAATACGCGTTCGAGATTCTCTTTCTAATTACTTCGCTCGGTTGCTTGTCTCAGGCTTCGTTCTACTCGCCTAGTCCCGCCACATTCATCGCACGACTTAGTTATTCGTCTCCAGCAGTAGCATTCGTCGCACATTCCGGAAGCGACGCCATGGGTGCGTCGATCGAGGCGGTGAATGACGAGCAGCCGCCGTTGGCGCGGGAGTCGACGTCGGCGCGGGAGCACCAGGTGATGGTGCCGCACGCGTCCATAAAGGACGAGCTGCGGGAAACGTTCGCGCCGGTGAAGCAGCTCATGGTCATCGACGACGACCCCTTCAAGCCGTACCGCGGCAAGACGGCGGCGGAGCGTGCGAAGATGGCGCTGTTCTACGTGTTCCCCATCCTCGAGTGGGCGTCCAACTACAAGCTCGCGTGCCTCTTCGGCGACGTCGTCGCGGGCCTCACCATCGCCAGCCTCGCCGTGCCCCAGGTCAGCCGCGCGCGCACAGCTAGTGTTCATCCTCACACGATACGTAGTCAATACGGACTCAAACATCGGTTCGATAAAGGCCCCTACATAGATACTCAGCCCGTTGGTACTGCGTATCCGGGAGTTGGATCGCGGTGTTACGTCCCGCCTTCCCCCTCAATGCAGATGCGCTCCTCTCCCGCCCTCCACCCCACCATCGCCTCAACTCTTTCCGTCGTCCCCATCCCTGTCGTCGTCGTTCGCCCTGCAGGATCTCGGGTACGCCAAGCTCGCCAAGCTGCCGCCCATCAACGGCCTCTGTAAGCACCGCCGCCCGCCCCTCCGCGTTTTTTCTCGTTTACCGTCGTTCCGCCGTCGCTCGTTTGATCACATTTGCGGATGGCAGCATGTGGCGTTACGGCGTGAACCTCCCCACGCATCGCTGTTGCGCACAGCCGACTTCGTCCCTCCGCGACTCTGTCTTCCGTCTCGCTTTTCCCTGCCAGGGCTCTTCCACATCCGCTTACCGACCCCATTTCCCCTCCCCTCTCCACGTCCCCCTGTCGCTCCTCCCTTCCCCCCCCACCCCCCGCAGACAGCAGCTTCGTCCCGCCGCTCATATACGCCGTGCTGGGCACGTCGCGCCACATCGCGATCGGGCCGGTGGCGGTGGTGTCGCTGCTGCTGGGCGACCTGCTGTCCAAGTACTACGACGCGGACGCGCAGCCCGCCGAGTACCTCAACCTCGCCATCACCGCCACCTTCTTCGCGGGCATCTACCAGCTGGCCATGGGCGTCTTCCGCCTGGGCTTCGTCATCGACTTCATGAGCCACGCCGTGATCGTGGGGTTCATGGCGGGCGCAGCGGTGACGATCGCGCTGCAGCAGCTGCGCGGGCTGCTGGGGTACACGTCGTTCACGCAGGCGACGGACATCGTATCCGTGCTGCAGTACGTCTTCCAGCACACGGACCAGTTCAACTGGCGCGCCTTCCTTATCGGCATCTCCATGCTGGCGTTCCTGCTCACCCTGCGCGTGCTTGCGCAGCATCTCAAGGGGCGCAAGGTGGCGGGCAAGGTCTTCTTCTACCTCAACTGCGTGGGCCCCATGGCCACCGTCATCGTGTCCACGCTGGCCGTGTGGCTCACCACCGCGCCCGTGCCCAAGGTGGGCAAGATGCAGAAGGGGCTGGCGGGGCTGGGGTCGCTCAGCAAGCTGCAGCTGTCGGGCAAGGACGCGGGGGACGCCGCCGTGGTGGGGCTCGTGTCGGGGCTGGTGGCGCTGACGGAGGCGTCGGCCATCGCGCGCACGTTCGCGGCGCTGCAGGGGTACCACGTGGACGGCAACAAGGAGATGATCGCGCTCGGCGCCATGAACGTGGCGGGGTCCTTCACGTCCAGCTACGTCACCACGGGGTCGTTCTCGCGCTCCGCCGTGAACTACAACGCGGGCGGCGCGACGATGCTGACGAACATCGTTATGTCGGGCGTGGTGATGGTGACGCTGCTGTGGATCACGCCCGCCTTCCAGTACCTGCCGAACGCGACGCTGGGCGCCATCATCATCAACGCCGTGCTGGGGCTGCTGGACTACGAGGCCATCTGGAAGATCTGGAAGGCGGACAAGGTGGACTTCGTGGTGGCGCTGGGCACGTTCCTGGGCATCCTGTTCGACTCGGTGGAGACGGGGCTGCTGGTGGGCGTGTGCCTCTCCATGCTCAAGATCCTCGTGCAGATCACGCGGCCGCACCTCGCCACGCTGGGGCTCGTGCCGGGCACGGGCGTGTACCGCAACATCCAGCAGTACATGCAGGCGGAGCTGACGGAGGGCGTGTACGTGCTGCGCGTGGACGGGCCGCTCTACTTCCCCAACGCCAACTACGTGCGCGAGAAGGTGCTCTCGCTGGCCGACGCCTACAGGGACCAACACAACGGCGACAGCATCACGGTACGCCGCCCCGCACCCATTCCTTGTCCCGACCATTCGCCCCTGCCTTGTGTTCCCTGTAATTATGCACACAACCTTCCGCATCACCCTCCTTTGTCGGCTCTCACTCACATGCTCTGCTCACATGCTCTGCTCTCACATGCTCTGCTATCACATGCTCTGCTCTCACATGCTCTGCTCGCACATGCTCTGCTCTCACATGCTCTGCTCGCACATGCTCTGCTCCCACATGCTCTGCTCTCACATGCTCTGCTCCCACATGCTCTGCTCTCACATGCTCTGCTCTCACATGCTCTGCTCTCACATGCTCTGCTCCCACATGCTCTGCTCGCACATGCTCTGCTCGCACATGCTCTGCTCCCACATGCTCTGCTCGCACATGCTCTGCTCGCACATGCTCTGCTCGCACATGCTCTGTTCTCACATGCTCTGCTCTCACATGCTCTGCTCTCACATGCTCTGCTCCCACAGGCTCCTAGCCGTTTGAATGTGCAGCCTTGTCACCCTCGCCCTCTTCCTGTCCCCGCCCCCTATCTCATGCATCTCCCCCTCCCCCCCCCTGCAGCATTTCGTGCTGGACTTCACGCCGGTGGCGGACATCGACACCACGGGCACGCATGCGCTGCAGGAGCTGCACGGGCTGCTGTCGAAGCAGGGCGTACAGCTGGGCATCAGCAACCCCTCGCGCATGGTGCTGCGAAAACTCGTCGCCTCGGGCTTTCTAGAGGTGCTGGGGGAGGAGTGGCTCTTCCTCTCGGCGCATGAAGCGGTCAAGTCGTGCCGAACTTTCAGACTATCTATCAAGGATGTGTAAAGACGATAAGGCCCCCCTGATAAGGTAGACGTGGAAGCTAGCCACTGTTGAAGTGGAAAAACATATTTTTCAGCGGCTATGCTGCAGTAGTGTGCTCTGTAAAGTTTAGAGAAATTCCTTCTTTTACATGCAACCAGGCACCCAGTCAGGGAAAACATGCACCTGTCGAGGGACCCGCTGGGGTTGCCGTTGAGAAGATCCTCAGGGAAGGGCCATAAATGCAGAGCCTGGGGGGTTGTGGGCGCACTAACCCGCTATGTAACACGCCCTAATAACTCGGTAGGTAGTGACTGAGTTCTAACATGCCATGAGAGTGTGCGTTATTCGGGTGCAATTCCCAACATGCACCCAGTGCACCCTATGCCAATCATGCATCCCCATGCACCCCCATGCACCCCTATGCACCCCCATGCACCCGCATGCACACCCATACACCCCCATGCACCCCCATGCACCCCATGCACCCTATGCACGCCTTTCAACCCCTGAACCCCGGTGCACCCCCATGCACTCCCATGCACCCCATGCACGCCTTTCACCCACCTGAACCCCTGTGCACCCCCGTGCACTCCCATGCACCCCATGCAACCCTGTGCACCGCATGCACCCTCGTGCACCCCCATGCACCCCATGCATCCTATGCACACCTTCGACCCCCTGAACTCCCATGCACCCCCGTGCGCCCCCATGCACCCCCATCCACCCCCATGCACCCCCATGCATCCCATGCATCCCATGCACCCCATGCACCCCATGCACCCCCATGCACCCCGAAGCACCGCCATGCACCCCATGCACCCCATGCAGCCGTGTGCACCGCATGCACCCCATGCACGCCTTCCACCCCGTGC